TCTATATTGTTCCGTTCATTTTGTCCAGGATTGTAGTTTTCCCCAGCAACGCAAGCAAAGTTGTTCTTAAATTTATAGTGCAAACAGCTTAGAATGAAGCACAAAAACCAGTACAAACAGAAGAGGATCAAAACGGTTTCATTTTCTTGGGCTTGTATCGGCGTCCCTTTTTTTACTTGGCACAAGATTCTTGTGTTTGGAATTGTGCTTGCGTTCTTTTTGTCTCAATACGAAATAATCATCTTCTGTCAGCGTTGGTTTTCATTTTACACAATACCCTTGTTTTCGGGACTTGTGCTTATTTTGTGCCTTCCTCAGTGGGGAAAAACAGGCTTGTGTTGGCTTTCATCAGTTTTCGCTGGACATTGTACGTCTTTGAACTTGAGGTTGCCTGTCTCAATAGTGAAAAACAGGCGTAAATGTTAAACCCCTGTGTTTAGCAAACCCGAGTATCCTTTATTTGAACTGCTACCATGGTGATCCGGAAAATATTGTTATTAGTGGGAAGGAAATAGTTATCTGCAGCGAGGGAAAAAAATCCAAAAAAGCATGTTTTACCTTGAGTATTCAGAAAAGTTCAATTGATCATAATCGTCTTAATAGTATCTCCGCTAGGAGATTTACGTTAATTTAAACAACAAGATCACGTCTCGGAATCAGATCAAATCCTGGCTGGTATGCCGTTACTCGTTTCATATAATCGATCACGGAATCATCACCACGTGGTTAACTCAGAAACGGTTTAGTGCGTGCAAACGGCCTCACTGATCAAGCTGTAACACACGATGTGTATCAACAGCTAGCAACCACACATTAACGACACGTACATTTAAAACTTGCGACCCAAGAAATTCTCTGCCTGCCTCTGTGTTGCTTCGTGAGGAGTTCATGTGACGACGATAATCTCGTCCTTGAGATGTCGCACCGTGGGGTAGCTTTTTAAAAGCTTGTTTTGTCTACCGAAAGCCTTCATGTCCGTCTGGGTTTTAAGCATTTAACAAGTAGAAAACAATTATGCCATCGTCTATGCTTATATAGTCAAAGAAATGACGTCGGTTTCGGGAAAAAAAAAAAATCTGCTTTTTTTCCTCGTTCTTTTTTCAAAGGTATCTCAGGTGTACCGAGACAGAAGTATCGGTAATCCCATTAACATTGTGGTGGTAAAGATTGTCTTACTGGAATATAATCAGGTAGGAAATTGAAATTATCAGCTTGCATGTTCCCCAGACTGTTTCACGTACATTTGATGTGGTACATATGAGAAGAATTTGGTGAACAATCTCTTTCCGGATTCTTCCCTTCATGCTTTTGCTTATCACAGTATGTCTGATTACAGGTTGTATTAGAATTCTAACAGTAGGAACTGTCACCCAAATAGTGAAACGTGAAAAAAAAAATGCTCAAAACATTAAGGAAAGAAGGTATAAAGGAATACTAAAAAAGCATGGGCACGAAAGGACAAGCTTGATGAAGATTATAACGGATTGCAATTGTGGGTTTTGAAAAAAAACTTTTATATCGCCTGACAGTTTTTCAGTTTTTTTTTCTTTTTCGTAACGTTTAATATAATGCTTAGAAGGCATATTTGTTGGACAAGAAGCTGCAATTTTATCATCGATTACAAGTAATTTCATCGCTAATCTGAAGTCCCATAGCACACAAGGAAGCATTATGGCGATGTTGGCAATATTAACCGTGACACAGAGCCCCTCATATTTTTAAGGACAAATTACTGTTACTGATGTAGACTACGAGTAGTCCCTATTTTTCCTCAGGGATAGCAGAGCGAGCGAAACGCGAGCGCGCGTGAAAACATTTTCTCTCTCACCGCCGCCGAATGGGGACTGCTCGTAGTGTATTACGGATGATGCTGTTGGGCGTTTGCACTTGTCCCAAAAGGACTTGGCGAGCTCAGAATAACCTTTCTTAAGATTTATACCTCTTCTTTTCCTTGTTTTTATTTTATTTTATTATTATTATTATTATTATTTTTTACAGAGGGGCCTCCATATCTCCTCAGACTCTACTCGCACTCTTAAAAGCTTTTGCCGTTGGCAGAATCGGGTGATGACTAAACCACAGAAGGACCCAGAACACCACGATACCGCGGTTCTTCTAACAAGGTGAGATTCACCCCAGTTGAGCGCCCTTAATTGAGTTTTGAGATAACGAAAGATTCTGTGAAACATATATGGCATAAAACGTAACGCTACAAAAACATGCCGTTTCGGCGACGACATGTCACCATTATCAAATGCAAATAAAAAGAACGAAATGATTAAAATTATAGGAAGATCAAAAGACTAAAATATTAAGGAGCTACATGTTAACCAGTCAGCAATGCAACGTACCAGTAATATAACCTCTTGGAGATTTATCTATTATTCACTCAAATATTTACCCGTTTCTGTTTGGCTTTAAGTTCCCAGGCTAATTTTTTACAACAAGCAAGCGCTGACCAAATTTGGAAGGTGCTTGGTATTATTCCACGATTGATGACAGTGATAGAGTCATTAAAACTATTTAGTCTGTGTGTAGCTGCCCCTCCCCCTCCCCCTACCTTCAAACAAAATCTAGGAAGGGAAGGGGCGTCTGCACACAGGCTTAAAATATTGTACGTACGCTTGGTTTTCATTTACAGGCGGGCACACGACTGGAGGTCTTGGCAATAGGGTTAGGGTTCGAGTTACAAGACCTTTGTACCGGTAAACCTGCGAGTTAAACCCTCAGTTGTACTCGATAACGCCTCTGTTTTGGCAATGCATACACACGAACTATGTCAGCTGCTTTGAAGAATGTCTTCAAGAACACACCCTAGAACTGCCAAGTCACAGGCAAACGCTAATTCGAGAAATATGAATGTTATAAACTAGGAAATTATTTGAATGAGTAACAAACCAATTATGTCTATCAAGAATAACCAAGCGTACGTTCACGTTAGCCAGGGCTAAAATGAATCACAACGGCCTATATGACATCTTTACTTTGATGAATCGTTCTTTTGTGCCTAAAGGTATTTTTCTTTCTCGCAGGAGAAATTTATGCAGACGCCCTGGAAAGTGTGACACTTTAGGTAAACATCTTTCTATATTGTGAACAGCTTCACGAATACTTCCAGTGTGGACTAGAACAGCATTTTCGGCTTATTTAGTATCACCCACTTTAAATAAAGATATCGTGCGGTGGGCAGAACAATTGTCTTAAACTGGGGCCTGATTTACTAGACTTCGACAACCCCCTTGAGAACGCCATGACTGTTTCTAACTTCAGGACACCGTTCTTTTGTTTTATTATTTTTCAGGTCTTGCTGAGTTAGGAACAATGTGTTCCCCAGGGCGAAGCTGTGCTTTAGCAGAAGACAGCGGACTGGGGACAGCGTACACTATTGCACACGAGTTGGGGCACGTGTAAGTACCTTATATGAAGTATCTAGAACATGTGTAAGTACAGATACCGTATGAAGTGGAATGTGTTGCTGGCTATCACATTGTCTGCTTTGAAAATCTCCGAGCCTTTTTTCCGTAATAAATGACAAGCCCAAACCGTGATCATGTCAAATCCAAGATGTTCGAGAGATTTGCAATCACTTCACTCACAACAAACGTCGAATGTCAATTTGTGCCAAGTGACCGAGATTCTGCTTTAGTTGTCGTTTAATATTTGTCATATCTACCGGAAAAAAAAAAGAAGTTTCATGCTAGTTTCGTCCTTAACAATTTCTTTGGACTTTCTTCTTTTTCAAATGCTTATTTGAAATAGGTCAACTTGAATCTGACGTTTGCCATAAACGGCGTTCTAGATGGATTCTAAATAGGAGGTTCCTAGACATTTTCCCTTTTTACGTTAAAGTTATTCAGTTGAATTTCTTCGGTTCTGTTGGTAGCCTGAGAAAACAGCCGACATTTAGTGGCGTCGCGAATTGTCGGCTATTTTCTCAGGCTATTCAGTCGGTCTTTTTGTTTGTTTCCGTGTTTAAAAAGCAGAATATCTTATTTCCCCGCAGTTTTAGCCTCCCCCATGATGGCGATAACAACCCGTGCACTCGGAGTAGAGGAGACCAGCGCCTCATGGCCCCGTCACTCAGTTTCGATACAAAGCCTTGGTCTTGGTCCAACTGCAGTCGAGATAAAATCACCCAGTTCTTGGAGTAAGTTAAAGAGAACCTTTTCTTTAGTCTACAATATTTATATAAATCTAATTATGTATTGGCATTTTTGTGTTAAGGTTTGAATTTTCCACAGTTATGTATGTGTTGTTATATATAAATACGGTAAAAAAACGTCTGTTCTCCTTGACGTTAACAGCAAAGAGCACGCACGCTGCTTTCTACGACCCTAAGTACTCTTGATAATTTATAATTAGTCCACTCAATTTAATCTTTTTTTTAAAATTGAATTCTTTTAATTGTCGCCTATTTTTGCCGTTTGCTAAGGTTAGGTTACGGTTCGTGCCTTGCGGACAAACCACTCGAAAAAGCAGAACTGAAATATCGCGATAGACTTCCTGGTGAACTCTACAGTGTGGACCAACAGTGCAAAATGGTTTTTGGCGGGAACTCATCGCTTTGTCCCTTTATGGTTAGTACTTTACGTAAGCCATCATTAGTTATATTCTCCTGTAGCATCTCGTCTGTACTCTGTATACCTCTGGTACCAATGTGACTAATACGTCGAAAAATAGATCCCTTAATCTCCTCGTCTATAGGTTTGGTTCAGCAGACGTAACTAAGTAATGTGTAAGGGCAGATTAGGGTATGATTACTGATCATTCGTCCTGTTTTCCCCTTTTTTCCCCTTTCCCCTTTGGATTTGACCCAATAGCACAATCATTTCTCCACCTTTAACATTACAAAATGGTTAGTGTCCTGTCATTCAAAAACGCAAACATGTCTATGGGAAACTGAAAAGCACTTCAAAAATAAAAACTAACAGTATAAAAAGAGGCTTTGGCCTATATCATTTAGATACTTTAAGGTATCTGCACCGGCAAATTTTGCACATTTTAGGTGATACACTGACATCCAGTGTAAGAGAGCATTTATTCTCAGTTCAAGTTTATTTCTCTTATTTGCCTTGAAGGAACCTTGTCGGCGACTTTGGTGCGTAAAAATGATCAACAACCGAAGGGGATGCTCCACTCAACATATGCCTTGGGCAGACGGAACCCCTTGTGCGAGGAAGAGGGTAAGAATAAATTGCTCTCTAGTACTCACTTCCTCAAGGCACCCGTGCACGGTGGCATTTGTTCCAGTTGCCACACAAACATAATGCATTACCTTGATCCATATGTGTCATGTTCTTAATTTTTGCCTGTTGGTGGAATTCTATTAATAGCTTGTGATCATGTGGTCCTTCTTCCCCTCTTCCATTGGCCCGTTTGCCGACTTTCGCCCCACCTCCGAAAACAAAAAAGAAGAAGAACGACTGATCGTAGGTTACCATTCAAATGGCCTGCACTGATCCTTTGGTATAGTCATTTTGCTGTACAAGTATTTTCTAATTTTTCAAGTCCGTGGATAAAGTTTTCTTTGCAATGCTGTGTATAAAATACTAACTTTAAACTACTAACAGTGATTGATGTCAATATGAGAACTTTAATAAGATTAGTAATAGAGATGCCCTCTACACCAGCATGACATGGCAAACGGTTGACTTGATAAATGTAAAAATTAACTTAAGCCGATAGACACTTGAATTATTCGAATGTCACTAATTCGGGGAATAGAAAATTCTTTGTATGCAACAAGTCGCACGTACGATTTATCCCGTTCACTTGCAAACCTGAAGAACCTCGCATTTTAAACAGTGGTAATTCGAAAGGACACCAAGCTTTTTAGGGCTCATTATAAAATAGAGCGTACCATGCTTCCCAAATAGGAGTTATTAGCCTTTTCATTTCCAATGGAACTTCCTAAAGACAATTTTAAGCTAGACGTCAGTTGCATGCACATTTTGCGTAATACAGAAAATGATTTGCACCGTGAAAAAGTATTACTCAAGAAGTTTCATTAATTAAAAATGAATCATATCCATGCATCAATCCATACATCAAAGCTAAGAGTTAGCCGGAAACATGTCTTTTTAATTGACCCTGGATACAGGGTGATGCTCAGTTGAAAACGTAAAAAATAGCTTATGCATGGATCATGTCAAGGTTTTCATTCGATACTTCCAGATCACGGACCATTTTACACGTCGGTCTTATACTAATAAACCGCTTGAACTTTTTCAAAAAGTCTTTCTGAACTAACGATCCTATTTAAACACTCTTAAAAACCACTATCTGTTCCGTTAAGTACTTCTCTAAGTTGTTTTCCGATTTTGCAAGTGCTCAGAAAACAGAAATTACTGAGTTGCTACTGTTTTCGATCTGTCATCTCCGGGTTTTTGATTCCAAATGATTTCAAATATTTCTTATAAAGGTTCTCTTGGTACCGTTGCAGGGGTGACCATTTCTTTAAATAGGGTTAGGCCTGGGAAATTGCAGTTATCAACATGCTGGAATTTACTAATCAAAAGTTGCGGGAAGATTTTCATTGTTACTTCGGTTCTCATTCTGCCCTTTGACCATCAAGAAGATCTGATAAACGGGCAAAATGGCATTGTCGGGTGCTTGAAAGAATTCCATTAACACAAGATTGTCGGAGAACCTTCTTCTTTTCTTACTCTGTTCTGCAATTACTTTTGCTTTTCGTCTACTACTATTTTTCCCTATCTCTCAGAGTGAATGATGCGCGTCTTGTAAGGTGGTTCTGACTTCACGTTTGTAGATCAAAATCGGTGTGACCTTTCAAATAAGACCTCTTTAGTAGTACTTTCACAAGGAACTATTTGATTTGCAGAATTTTTAAAAATGAAATTTAGAACTTGTGTTGAATTTTTACTTGGCAGTGAAACGGTGAAGATTCAACAGTGAACGATCGCCTGTGAGCCTGTCATCACCAAACATTTATGAAAATCTTAAAACTTCCGATTATTTTGTTTTTCGGGTTTTACGCGGCCATTTTAACAAGATTAAAGTTCCTAAACATATCGATGTTGAATGACTCTTTCCAACGTTCCATCAGTTTGTTGATCTTTAACATAGCAGAACATAAAATTTCCTTTCTTTTCTTTTAGAATGCGTATTGCGCACTTGACTACTTGACACTCTCAATAACAAGCACGCGAGCGAAATATTCCAGTTTGAGTGATTCAGACATAAAAATAGCTTTTTGTTCGAGCAATGAGGGAATACGTAAATTGTTTCTTAATGTTACTTTTGATGTTTTAATTGACACCTTAAAGGCCATGATATGTTTTTGTATTTTTTTTGTCCTCGTTTTCTATACCACGAAGGCCATGGCCTCTGATTAGAAATTTAAAAACAATTTCTGCAATTTAATTGATCAATTTGTTTACAATCTTAAGAGCCTCACTTCCCAAATAGGTCAAATTGAGTAATGACTGACAAGTGTTTTCCTTTTGGATTAAAATGGACTAGAAGAACGTGTAAACATCCGGAAAAAGTCCCTTTTGTAGGAACGTAGATCTCAGCAAAGTGACGTAATCAAATTAGAAGGACGATTTAAACAATTTATGTCATTTTCTGATAATTCCTTATTTGGTTCGCCCTACAAATTTCGGTAATAACCACAAAAGAGATCGGTAAATCAAAATGTAGTTTTGTGCAGCAAAGACAATTCTCCTAACCCCGTAAACTAAAGATAAACATTGACATAAACTCTTCTTACGTATCTTCCGTAGTATGACTAAATTCGCTTTGTTGGCTTCTCTCCATGTTCGGAGTATTCAATAGGCCCGTTGCAGCTAGCCATTCACGTGGTACAAAACCGCCATGCTGGAGAGCAAAAGTCGCACTGGGAGAACACAAAAAAAGGAAATTACCATTTAAAATTATGTCTGCCTTTTGTTGGTCTTGTGCCAGTGCGACTTTTGCTCTCCAGTATGGCGATTTTGTACCACGTGAATGGCAAGCTGCAAAGGGCCTATTAAAGTGGACTGCGTGCTAATTACCTTTTTAAGTTTCTATTTGCTAACAATTGCATAACAGTTGCTAACGTGATATGTGCGGTGAAAAAAGCCTCAAATAGTCTTGTTCCTGAGTAGAATTTCGTCCAGAGACTCAAGTCTCAATACATATGACCATTGCATTCAAATGAAACCTTTGCAACTATGTTAGTACTCGAAGTTCCGTATTCTACAAAATAAAATTGGAGATTTTACTTGAATTCTAGGCACAGCACAGTGATGTTTAGTTAAATGATCTCAAAGGGCTTCTCTTTCTGAAACAACGGGCTTGTAGAGCTGGCGTCGAGTATCTTGCTCATCATCATCATCATCATCATCATCATCATTATCATTAAATTCGCTACTCCTTGTTTTATAATTGTCGCTGACTTCCTGTGCAATTAAACAACGTTCCGTGGGTACAAGTCCTCTTAAAGCTTTTGTAAATGAAGGTGAGGAGATGTTACTCATTGAAGGATCTGTTTCGGAGTTTATTTGTTGTACTAGCTAACGATGCCCAGTTCAACTCAGTCTGCAGTAATTATCACAAAACATTTATTCCATTTTGTTCACGTTATTATTATTATTTTATTTTTTTTTTTCATTTTCCAGTGGTGCATTCGAGGTCAATGTGTGAAGAAGCGAAGGCCGAAAGCTGTGAACGGTAACTGGGGTGAGTGGGGCCCCTATCGAGAGTGTACAAGGAAGTGTGGCGGAGGAATATCCTTTTCATACAGGGAATGCAACAAACCATTGTAAGTTCAATGTCACGTTTATTGTCGATTGAATATCGCCCTGTCCCTTAACGCTTTCATTTCGAGTGGCCACCAACGAAAACTTTCGCAAAAAGTTTTAAGTTCCTTTTTTTAAGCGAAAAAAATAAATAGCACTATGCAACAGTTCTGCCAAAGAGGTTTCGTTTGAATGGTAACACCATAGGATTTCATTTACAGACTCAAAAGTTAGAACTACATACTAAATAAATAGTACCATGTGAAAGTACTACTGAAGAGGTTTCATTTGAATGGTAATACCATAGGATTTCATCCACAGACTCAAAAGTTAGAACTACATACTAAATAAATAGTACCATGTGAAAGTACTGCTGAAGAGGTTTCATTTGAATGGTAACACCATAGGATTTCATTCACAGACTCAAAAGTTAGAACTACATACTAAATAAATAGTACCATGTGAAAGTACTGCTGAAGAGGTTTCATTTGAATGGTAACACCATAGGATTTCATTCACAGACTCAAAAGTTAGAAATACATACTAAATAAATAGTACCATGTGAAAGTACTACTGAAGAGGTGTCATTTGAATGGTAACACCTTAGGATTTCACCCAGAGACTCAAAAGCTAGAACTAAATACTAAATAAATAGTACCATGTGAAAGTACTGATGAAGAGGATTCATTTGAATGGTTACACCATAGGATTTCACCCACAGACTCAAAAGTTAGAACTACATACTAAATAAATAGTACCATGTGAAAGTACTGTTGAAGAGGATTCATTTGAATGGTTACACCATAGGATTTCATCCACAGACTCAAAGTTAGAACTATATACTAAATAAATAGTACTTTGTGAAAGTTATACTGAAGAGGATTCATTTGAATGGTAACACCATAGGATTTCATTCACAGATTCAGAAGTTAGAATTACATACTACATACATAGTAACATGTCAAATTACTGCTGAAGAGGTTTCATCATGGTCACACTATAGGATTTCATCCATAGACTCAAAAGGTACTTTGACGAGAACCGTGTTAATTCGATTAATAAACGCAGCGATGTTAATCAAATTTGCCTTTGCCCTTTTTTAAGATCTCTCCTTAAACTCTCTTATAGGGACACTCAAAAGGATAACTTACTTTGATTCTTTATTTTGCAAAAACTTATGTAACTGGTCCCAGCAAGAGTTTACACTTAATCCTTTGAATTTACAGGCCTGAAAATGGTGGAAAATATTGCATTGGTAAAAGGAAACGGTTCAGGTCCTGCAACACCCAAGTAAGTATTTAAATGTAGTTTTGAAGACAACAGGCTGAGATGGATTGGCTTGGTGGGGAATGAGAATGAGCGCTCAATTAAATTAACTAATTAATTGCACAAATTTGCTCCTTGCAAATATTTGCAAGGAGCAGCAAATATGAGCAAATCCATTTTTTTTTGGTCCAGTGAAAGATGCTTACTCAGCAAGTTACACAGGCGGCTCGGAAGACTGAAGGGACCGTACATTCCAGTCCCAGCAGCATGCAGAATGTTTCTTTGCAGGACTGTTTGTCACATAAACCTAGTTCTAGTTTCCTCAGCTCCCAAGAGTCTCAGTCAGTGCCAGATCCGGACCTTGAGATAAGGGGGCCCCGGTCATCCAGACCCTTAGATAAGGGGTGGGGGGAGGGCGGTCTCCCCAAAACACTTTTTCGGTTTGGTCCAAAAATAAAGGGGGGCCTAACCCCTCCCGTCCCCCCTCCCCTGGGTCCCCCACGGAGTCTCCTGTAGCTTGATGGTAGAGCATCTGGACTACTGAACAGGAGGTTATGGGTTCGACTGTTTGGAGTACTCAGACTTTTTCTTTCCATCCGCCTGTGTCATAGCCTTCGAGCAAGCTCTCCGGGGCACTCTGGTGGCGTGGCGGGAAAAGGAAGGAGAGCTTGCAACTACGTCTCTGGAATTTGAATATCTGCACCGCAAAAGTCGATGCGAAATTCTGATTGGCGGAGATGTCTTTAGTAATGACGTCATTACCCATGTAGCGTGCTTCCACGTGTTTTTCAATGTTTGTTTACATTCGCGCTGGTTTCGGCTTCGCGCTGACTGGCGGAAATCTGACAGCTCAGTCGACGGGGAACCACAGGGGAATTGGAGGTGGAATTCAAATTCCAGAGACGTAGTTGCAAGCTCTCCTTCCTTTTCCCGCCCAGCCTCCAGAGCGCCCCGGAGAGCTTGCTCGCAGGCCACCTGTGTCACTGACTAAATAAACATCTTTCTCACGTATTCACCAAGCTTAAAATTCACCATCACATTTCTATCATTCGACTAAAATGTATGGCCATTCATTAGCTTACGGCGCACCCCGTTAAGAAGCTGGTTTACAGTCATGTCTTTACTGACTGTTTTGTATTTGTAACTTTGACAGGAATGCCCTAAAGGTTCTGTGGACTTCCGTGCCATACAGTGTGCAAATATGCATGCGCGGAGCGTGAGTTTAGGTTCCAAGAGGTACAGGAACACGAACTGGCTTCCTAAGTACGCTGGAAGTAAGAGCTTGATAACTAAATCAGTCCTCAAAAACACAATCATTAAGATAATATAAAGGTAATTTAAAATGATTGGAGAGTGAAGTAAAATCTAATGAAAGGTAACTGAGTTTTTATCTCGGATTTTCTCCGAATAAAATTATCGTACATCCAAGAATTTCCAACCAGTTTATCCAACGCACAGTTCGTGTTTTGTCGAGCCCAAAGACAAAGGGCTGCACGTCATGATTGAAAATTTATAAAACACTCATACTCGTGTTTAAAGCTATAGGAAAATTCACACAGCGACTGTAAAATGGATTGTTTCGGGATGTCATTGGCCTACAGACGCATGTCAATGCAAAAGTTCGATCTGTGGGTTTGCCAAAATTATCACTAACAGGTTTCAGCACAAATGTAAGAAAGAAGAAAAAGACACCGCCAAGCACGAAACAGATGGGTCACAGACACAAAGATCAGAAAATTAATTTGTAAACTCCGTAAAACAGCTGACCAAAAAATGAATTAAAACTAAGATCGCTCAGAGCCTCTTACCATAAATGTATTTAAAATTATCAGAAAAAGGAACTCATATGCGAGAATTTGTTGTTTAAGTTCGACAGTTTTGACAGTTACTATGTTGATGTCATAGTCTTAAAAAAATTACCATTAACTGAGCATTATTTTTATACGTTTTTTTTTTCCTGAAGTCAACGTATTGAGCTGCCATTTCTTGTCTCTGTACAGTTACCAAGCAAAACCAGTGTAAACTGTATTGTCGTATGTCTGGCACTGCCATCTATTTCAAGTTAAAAGACAAAGTCATTGACGGAACACCATGTAACCATGAGACCACGGACATTTGCGTAGATGGAAAATGTATGGTAGGTGTGGGTGTTCATACTTTCTTGTTGGAAAACACGGCCACGTGACAGTCAAATGTGACTCTAGAAAGATTGACGTACAACAAAATGAGCCATGGACTCTTGAAAAATGTCGGCCAATTCGTTACGTTTAAACCTTCTCTAGTTTTGTTGATCACTGCCCCCATTACCTCTTTTGTATTTTTGAGTGATTGTGTGTGTATGCTTTACTATAGTTCAAACATTCTGACACTTAATTGTGTGATCAGCTGGAAAGAGCTAAAATTGTATCAACCGCAATACTGAGCCCATTTTAAAACGTTATGGTGCACCATACAAGAATGTTTTGCCGTCACCTTCGTTCTAGACTTTTTTTGTTATGTATGTAATTTTATATCTATTCATTTTTTTTAAATTTTCAGCCTGCGGGGTGTGACAGAGTGCTAAACTCAAATAAGAAAACTGACAAATGTGGAGTGTGTGACGGTGACAATTCATCCTGTAGACGTTTCTCAGGAACTTTCAACGAAACAAATTTTGGTGAGGCGTGGCTACTTGTGTAATGTATTGCTTGCTTAACGTATTCCCAAGTCCAATTTATAACACCTGTAAAAAAAAGTGCGTTAGTTAACTGCTAATGTATTTAATTGAGAGAACTATTTGCTTACTTTGTTTTAACAACCCCCCACTAAAGACGGGACAGCCAAGTCTAGCCTTTCGCAGGGCAAAGGAAGGACCTTCTTCCACAATTATTGTATGGTGCTTGTCGGGTCCTCAGGAAATGATCCTCCGACATACTCTCTGCAGACCAACGTCTAACTTGTACTAAATCTAGCCTGCCGCGTGGACGAAAGAAATGCTTGTGAAAATGATTTCTCATAATACACACCACAGTTCACGTGCCTACGTCATCACTACGATCGCGTAGTCATGGTTCGTTTTATAGAAAAAAAGAATGATCCGTTTGGAAACGAGGAAAATGTGCTTGTAGGAGCACTAGACACAGGCGTCGCTCTGGGCAAGTTTATGCCAAATCTTTATAATAAATTGTTTTATTAACTGAATTACGCTTTTTTCCTGAGCTCATTCACGATGATTATTGACATCAAGATCGGCAAACGTTGACGTAAGTAATCGTTTTTGCCTTTGTGTTTATAGGGTATAATTTTATCTTTACAATTCCTGTCAATTCAACGGACATAGTGGTTACACAGTATGGTTGGAAAAATCGGGAGGATCCGAATTATCTAGGTAAGTGCTAATCAAGGTGATGTATATTTGGGATTGAGAATGCTTTTCGTTCTTAGTTCCATCAAGTCTATTGAATTTTCTCCATAACGCAGACCGCTGAGCGTAATCTAGATTCGCTCTGCCAAAGAGTCCGCTTTTGAGAGGGGAGGAAAACGAGCTTGAGAATCAGCTCCGTATAAATTGTTGGGGTGTTGGGCACGCCAAGTTTAAGGGTAGACGCAGGATGCTACGTATGTAAGCTAACAGCGCTATGCTGTGCGCAAGAAAAACATGGATGGAAATATGATCCTATGGACAGCATAGCCTGCAATGTTGAGAAAGATGCTACGCGAAGGGATTTCAAGGGTTGGCGTATAATAAAGAGCTTTATGCAGTGCTCAATGTTGATCGCAAGGATTGCATGGGTGGACGCAACGCTGATACTTTCAAAATAATGGACAACATTATGAGCGATATTGAAGGAAACAGTTTCAGGGGTGAACGCGCGAGGCCACGCGCACCATAGCTCACAATAGTACGAAAGATATTGCGTAAAAACTTGAGGGGAGGATACCTGTTGCGCACAACATTACAAGCTATGATGCGTGCTAGCTTATGATATTTCGCACAGCAATTTAAGGAATCGAAAAGGCCCACGATGCTGCGTACAATATAGCGGACTATATTATGCGGAATATTGCCGACCGCAATTCTAGGCGGTGGACGCATAACGGTTCGTACCTCATAGCGAACAATTCTGCTGTGATATTTCTTACATTCTTAAGATTCCTAGTTTGTACACATGACGACGTGATTGACATAGCTTAAAACGTGAGCCATTAATTGACCTTCTCTGTCCCTATCAGCCCTTCAAAGTGCCAGCGGTAGGTTCCTTCTCAACGGAGGGATGATCATTGGGTTAGGAGTAAGAGAATTCAGAACAGCAGGATCCAAAATATGGTACTCAGGCTCGGAAAAGGTTATGGAACAGATCAAGATTAATGGCAGACTCACCGAGCCGGTCAAAGTCTACGTACGTTGTTAGTCTTCTTTTTGATTGATTGATTGATTGATTGATAAAGGGATTGATTGATTGGTTTTTCTTTTTGCCTGACAAATGATTTCGGTTCAGAGGGAGGAATCATATTAATGCCCAACTTTGAATTTAGGCTACAAGCAGTCGTCCCTTTCCTCAGAGCCACACGCCACTAGCGAAAAATTAATTAATGTAAAATTTATGGTAAATAAAGAGGGAAAATAAGAGACCGCTCTCAGTCAACTTCCGAGAGATTTCATGTAATTTCAGTGTGCGAGTCCAAGATTTAATCCAGTGCCGTACCTATTCAACAGAAAGAAACTGAACCTCAATAATTTTTTTTTTGGAAAGTGCGATATGTGTTTTATGATCTTCAATTTAAAATGTCCCACTTGTCTTCGGCGTCGCCTTTGGCCACTCATCAGATACAAAGAAGTTTAACGCAGTTTTCTGTTGTTAATTTTTTTCGCACCAATTTTACGCTTGATGCTTATTAACTAACTTGGAACATTTGCGTCGTGTTAAAGAGTATGTGATTGCAAGTGAGAACTTATTTCAATTACTTTATAGGTTTTTGAGGTTGAGGATGTTGTACCCCCAAACGTTCACTATAGTCTTAATAAAATGGTAGCTGAACCAAAGAAGTTTGTTTATAAATGGGATCGACTGGGTCGATGGACACAGTGTAATAAGCTATGCCAAGGTAAGACTTGTCCCTTATGAGGTCACGCAACGCTAAACTGCGAAGAGCGGGGAGAAGCATTGCGTTACACGGCTACAAAGAATATTTTATATGCCAATGTGCCGAGTTTTTTATAAACATTTTCTCTCAAGCTTTCCATGTTTGTGCTAAATGCACTTATAATACGCTTAGACCAAAATCATAGGATTAATTAGTAGTTAACTGGTTTTTCGTTCTGTGCTTTGGCAATTTTTCGTCCTTGAACAGCTGTAAGGAAGCAAGAGATATTTCCTTTTCCTTCAATTATGCCAGTACAAGTTCATCTGTCAGGCCATCGTCTTTTTTTCTCCGTTTAGCGTTGTCCGACCGACGCAAATTTTTGGGATTTTCAAAACAAAAAAAACGACGTAGTTGAACCATTTTTCACTTAAAATAATCCTTTTAATGTGAACGATGAGCATAGTGACAGCATAGAGAAAAACAGGAACAAAAACAGGAACATTTTTTACAGTATATTGTGTATTTTGTAACTCCAAATATGTGAATTTAACTTTTAACGTCGTCCTGGGTTACCGGGGCCTCCTATTCCGAGACTTCCGACCTAATATCAGGAAACGCATTCGACGCTAAACGAAAAAAAAGGGGGATGGCCTCATATATAATAAAAAACCATCAGAATATACTTAGTTTTAGTTTTTCAACATGGCAATGCTTTTTCTGTTGGGCCATTAAAGCGAGTTTTTAAGGCCTGTTAAATACTTTCTGAAGAGCCTAGTTTTTATTCCTCGTTTACTCATTCTGTTCTGTAAATTACGGATCCTCTTTTAATCCTCTTCATTTATAGCTTGGGCGTTTCGTGCTGGGCTTTAAATCAAAAGACAAAAACCCGGTCCGTAATTGTAATTTACTGTACCGGCCTCGAACTCTGCTAAGAAGAGGTATTTATTTTCATTCGCTGCAAAGAAAAAATGAGGACAGCATAACTAAATTGACTTGAAAGCAGTAAAGCTTTTCAAACCTTTTGACGAGAAAACTGCACTTACCAGCTCTCTTCTATTTCTTTTGCTCAAAAAGCGGGCTCTGTTAAATTCGTTTACTTTTTGTAAACTAAAACTTAACCCAATGTCATTACATGTGAACACTTCATTAGGCATAAGAAAAAGGCGACCAAGATGTGTCCGCGTTATTGATGGTCAGTTAGTCTCCAACTCCAGATGTGACCAAAGTACACGGCCGAGCACTGTTACCGAGGAGTGTAATATTAGTTGTCGGCTCAGGTGGGTAGCGCAATCTATCTTCTAAAGCATACGTTACAACGGTAACATTAGCCTCGGAAAACAGGCTACATTTCACGACGTCACCACTGGTTTCCACTGGTTTCCCCGCGAAATGACGTCTAGGGAACAAGCGCAGAAATTTCATATCGATAACGTGTTACTACCTAAATCTTTGTTGTACATCTGATTGGTTGAAGCATATTTCCCTTGCGGCCCGACCAATCATAAGCACTACCCACATCTGGCTAGTGGCACGTCATCAGTATGGAATTTCTGCTTTCGGTCCTCAGACGTCATTTCACGGGGAAACCAGTGGTGTCGACGGGAAAGGTCAACTGTTTTCTCATGCTACACTAACATCAGTCGACGATGTCACCTTAAAAGCCGTATCCACAAAAAAAATGTTTTGCTTCGTTAATTTCAGTTTACAGTTTAACGACCGTGTTTCCTCTCTCTGTCACAGATGGCAAATTGAAAACCCTGGAAGATGCTCAGCGCGTTGCGGGCTTGGCTACCAGAGTCGAGTTGTTAAGTGCGTTCGTGTTCATAATGACCGCTGGGGCGAGGTCCTGGACAGGCACTGTCCCAGCAAAACCAAGCCCCCTCTTTTTGTGCGTTGTAATGGCACTTGTGAAGGGACCAAATGGGTCTACTCTCAGTGGTCGAAGGTAAGTGTTGTTGCTGTTAAACGTCATATACTACGCTACTTTACCCATGCTCGAATGAGAATTGATCACGTGATCAATTTTTCCCGCCATTGTTAACGGGCACGTTTGCCCTGTGTCGTTTGCCGTTATCGAAGAGATTTAGAATCATGTTTACGGCGACTGGCAAACGTCAAATTGAACCACAAGACCAAGTTATCATCTAATTTTTCGTCTCTTAATTTGAGAGATTGCCAATGTAAATCTCGCTTTTGCCGTTTTCCGTGAACGCGATTCTAAATCTCTTTAAATGTTGGTTTTTACATCCATACAAGACATAGCGTTTAATTACAATGATGTCTTATCCTATATTTTTTTAATTATCTGACAGGAAAAGGCCATTTCATGAAACCTTAGTTATGTTGGGCGTTCTGTGATTATAACGTTTTTATTTACAGTGTTCAAAAAGTTGCAATGGTGGCAAGCAAACTCGTTCAGTAGACTGCGTGGACAACTTTGGAGAAATTCTCAAGGAGCGTGACTGTCGCCCTTCTGACAAGCAAAGGCTGAGACGACAGTGTAACGCATTTGCTTGTCCTCGGTGGACCACTGAAAATTGGAGCTCGGTAAGTCGGTGCCAGGTTTGCTTCACTTGGTTTTGGGCGAAACTATTGGCTACTAGTGACGATTAAAGTTGTGTGGAGTGTCGTGCTAAGGGGTAAAAGATATCATACCAAAAATAACACTTAAGTCATTACCTAAACAATACGCGCCAAGATCCTTTGAGCGTGCGAGTAAAGCCGTCCCTCCTCGCTCCCCACCACGAGAGGCGTTTCGCGACCCCTGTGGCGAGGAGAGAGAAGAGATGACTGTATTCGCAGGCAAACAGTGGCGAATCCAGGAGAGGGGCCCGGCCCCGCCTCTTACCTCAGGGTCTGGACGACAGCCCTCCCCCCTCCCCTCCCCCTATCAGAAGGTCTGGATCCGCCACTAGCAAAGTTCCTTTTTTTCTGTTTCAAATTCTCGAAGAATCAGAGAAAAGGTCGCCAAGTCGATAGTGAGCCTCAAGGCAGTGGGAGTATCCCATGTGTGATCGAGAAAGAAGGGGAAACTAGAGAGATATTCCCTGACTTTAACTCTTTTTCTTCCCGCTTTCTGTCCATTACTCACTATTTCACTTCTATCTGAAGAACCTCTGGGCAATGGCGCATCCAGACCTTCAGATAAGTGGGAGGGGGGCCGTCATCCAGACTCTGGGGGCCGGGCCCACCGATCCCCTCCCCTGGATCCGCCAGTGCCTCTGGGACAGACTAAGCTTTTTAGTGAAGTGTCAATCGGTAGTATCTCCTGAATTTTCAAGATGATGTTGAAAGATTCTGAGACGAGTACATTGTATATGTTGTAGACTCTGCGCTGTAGTATAGTGGTTCTGGTAAGGACTCTTCTATATGGAGTAATTTTAATTCGGTACTTAAGCGCAGCAGGCTTTGGTACCAAAGGTATCATTAGTTTTTCTAGTCTACGAAACAAGTGGTTTCTGACGTGTGCTTCTTCACTAAGTTAACATTGTGAGCTCACAAAACAAATGGCTTATATTTTGGCTTCTTAGCAACCTACTATGGTCCTTCCAAGAAGGCTCATGCACTGACCTTTACATGTTTATCTCTCAGTGCAGCGTGACTTGTGGGTCTGGACAGCAGACTCGACTGGTGAAATGCAAAGGACATCAGGGAATAGTTGACGAAGGACTGTGCAAACAGAGAAGACCTGCGACAACACAACCTTGTGAGCTTCAAGCTTGTCCTTATTGGTTCGCTGGTGATTGGAGTGATGTAAGTTAAGAGTTGAGTCTTGTTGCTGTGCCTTGCTTAAGGAGTATTGGTTTTAACGGTCGTAGCTTAGGATTATATTTACAGACTTTAAACATAGCATCGCCTAAACGTGATAAACAGCTTCACAGAAAAACGCTGCTCAGTAGCTTTGATTTGAACGTTGAACTGCAATAGTCAGTACTGGCGTAGTCTGTCGTTTTCCCTTTTTTTATCAGTTAATTATTTATTTATTAGCTCAGCCACCCATCCACCCCCACCCGCTGGGACTGGCGGTCGATATATCCCCCGGCTCGCGGTTCTATTTTTCGTTCGCGCACTAGAACATTACCACCGTTTTAAGCATAATAAATAGTACCAAGGAAAAGTGCTACTTGCATTCAGTTGAAAAGTGACACAAGAAGACGCTGGGACCCTTTGAAGATACTAAAAACCCTGTAGAATAAGGCTTCCGAAATGAGCTGATTTAAACAACTTTCAGTTTGTCGAGAGAGCAATCTGCCGTGACAAAAATGAAGAAAGCGAATGAGCGAAGAGGACACTAGGGACGAGGGGAAAGGCAAAGGTTTCTCCTACCCTCCCTTCTCGCCTTAGTCCTCCCCCGTTTGCCTCGTTTGAGTGCTCGTACTCAGTATGCATGCCGCTCGACAATTCTGCGAGAGGAAGCTCTAGAATTGCGAAAGGTTTTATAGATTTTCTTCTTCTTTCTTCACCAGTGCTCCGCGACTTGTGGTAGCGGAATGATGACTCGACAGATCATGTGCTTGTCTCCAGGCAAGGTCGCTAGACCCCTGAGTGAAGAAAAATGTTCAGCTGCAACAAGACCTCAGTCGCACAAAGTTTGCAAAACACAAGAGTGTTCGACGCTGTATAAGATTGATCACGAAGGAGATCTTGATGATCATTACTGGCGGCTCAGTATGTGGACTCCGGTAATGTTTCTTGCTACTACTTGCTGTTGTTGTAGAATGAGAAGCAATACAATGCAGTGTTTCTCTCTAAAGTTAAAAAAGCAATGACAAAGAAACTTTTAACAATGAAAAACATGAGAAGTTAACAAATGGGACTAGGCTACGCTGTCTGGAATAAGTGGCAAAAAACAAAGTGAAACGAAGCGAGCCGAGCGGTGGACTGGGCCGCTCGGCTCGCTTTAGCTCGGCGATTCTCTTTATCTCTTTTCCTCAACCACAGAGCCTGGTCCCAGGCTACACAAAGTGTTCCTGAAGTTGAATTCAGTACTACCAACAAATGAAATCATCGAGTGGTTGGACTAGTCAAACTCGGGACCTCCGAATTGTGAATCCTGCGCCATGACCATTCGTGCAAGCTGCCCCTACCTTATAGTTATTGTTGTTTTTCGTTAATGCTTTTGTTGTTGTTATTGTCGTTAGACGTATTACTTTTTGTTTTCTTGTGTTATGTTAACATTGTTATCATTACTGCTTGTGTTGTTGTCGTCGTTGTTGTTTTTTCGTTTGTTTGTTTGTTTGTTGTTGTTTTTGTTCAGGACTCAAAATAAATTTGGGACTGTCGCCGGTGGTGTTGACCGGTCAAAGTGTTAAACCCCCGTAACACGATGATAACGTCAACGTCCTAGCCTAACAAGCAAAAACATAAAGGGAGAAAAGAAGCTGGTCTTCTTGAAACGAAACGGTGTAGAAATGTATTTTCATTCTGGTCCCGACAAGTGGCCATCTTGGCCGGACATTGTCCGTCAACCGGCCGTTATTTGGGCCCTGATGTTTGTTGTTGACATTGTAGTAGTGGCGATGTAAATGCTAACTGAATGTTAGTTGTTGTTATTGTTGTTGTATTTGTTCGGTTGGTGTTGCGGTTTTGCGACTGTCTTGCTTGGGCTGGAAAAATCCCATGAACGCTCCTTAAAACCAAGAGGTCATTTATTTTTTTTTTATGAACGTTTAGTGTTCTGTGTCATGTGGAGAAAAGCCTGGGACTCAGTATCGTGACGTCGAGTGCGTACTTGTGAGAGGTAGGCAACAGGATGTGGTTGATGAAAATCACTGTGCGCATACCCCAAAACCCGCTGACCTGAAGGAATGCCAAGTTCTACCGTGCACAACCTGGAGACACGGATCTTGGGGTGGAGTAAGTTTGAAGTAGTTGCTAGGCGACTTCCGAGTCCCAAAAACGCTCACTTTCAAAATGAGGCCAAGTGTGCAACCTTTCTTGTGAAAATGGGTTTTTTGCATGCGAATGAAAAATCATTTCCGTATCAAAGGCTGAGCACCTAACCTCGTTATGATACAGAGGCCTGGGGAACTCGGAAACGGCCAGTTTTTGCTGATAACACTTGTCTCGATTTTGATTATTCCAGATTTAACAGAAAGTGAATCTTATTATTGTTTTATTATACTGTTTTATTATTATTCATTTTTTAAGCACGGAGCACAGTTTGACATTGTTCTTGGAAATCACCTATTGCGCGCCCAACCTATAGATGAGTCAGTTTTTTGCTAGCAGATGACTCACTAATCAGGTTGCGCTGATTTCCAAATTAACTGTTGGCTCTTAGCCAATGACAAGAAAGATAGTGAGGACAATGTATAATAATAAAGATGATGATGATGATAATAATATTACTACTACTAATAATAATAAGAAGAAGTAATATACAAATTAACTCTCTTTCCAGAATCTATTATTCCAGAATCGAAACATGTAAAATATTTCCAAATTTTGATCTGTGCAGAACTTATTGAACTATGTGTTTCGACATTTCAAAACGGAATAAAATTTTATTATATTTAAAAGAGCAACACGGTTAGTAAATCAGAAGGGTGTTAACGAGAACTACTTTCAATAGAGCTGGAAAAACAGATAATGTTGCCTTCATTTTGTCAGTCAGGCCTTGGGGATTTAAACGCTTAGTATGCCTAATAAATGCCACAGAGAACCCAACAGAAGGAGGCGTCCTCAATCACCAATAAAGATCAATGTAAATTCATTTGCTTGTGCTTTTATTTCAGTGTTCACGGCTTTGTGGTAAGGGTGTGCAGCTTCGTGTGGTCAAGTGTACCTATGATAATTTTAAAATAACCGTGGACAAGAACTGCGATTTGAAAAGCAAACCGTTAAGCATACGCCCATGTGAAATCAGAGAATGTATCCCAACGTCTGCAGTACCAACCTCGACACCAACCCCGACATCTCTGCAAGCGGTGCCGAGCTGGAAGACGGGGACCTGGGGTCAAGTAAGGATTTAATTAACCATGTGTGTGATTACCGACATTTGGCGAGCGATTCAAGCGCAAGCACAAGAGGTTTATTTTTTGAAAAAAAGATACGTTCATTTAAAGGATACAACATGAAATTCTTCCAAAGAAACAATGCAGATCAGATAATTCAGAGCCACGGGAAAAAAAATACATGAAAAACTATATCCCGAAAAGCCTGTTACAATTGTTGACTATGCGGTTTGAAAGAATCCTAACTACTAATTTGCCAATAAGATTCGTAATTATGTGAAGGGAATTAGTATGTGCAATCAAATAGCGACAAGTGAAACTTCACGCGCGTTTTGCCCAAATTCTAATAATTTATTATTAATTTAGTAAATTATTAGGATTTGGACAAAACGCAAGTGAAATCATTCTCTAATTTCACGAGTATACCATTTGATTACCTATTAATATCATGGGGGAAGAATTACTTTCGCAATCGTGGATTTTTGACATGTTTATCGGGGTTTTATCGCGTCTATCGAGAAGTTCAGAATTTTCAGAATTTTTCAACAAAATACCTGTTAGAATCCTCCTTCATGTGCTTTTTCGTGTGTTTAGGTTTTCTAAAACGTCTTTCAATGCCCTGACATCTTCATTCATAAAATTTTAAACATCGCGCAGAATGGCTATTGTTGTCGGGACATTTACTTACAGTCGAGCTAGAAGCATAGGGCTGTAATATTACAGGTGAAGCGTGAACTGAATCACTCTCATTGGTGGAAGTCTGGGTGGTCTTTCCTTTGTAGCGATTACCTCCTTGTTCATCAACTTGTCAGGGCGGAGCAAAAAAAACAAAGGCCATGCGAGCTGTTTTTTATCCTGTTGTTTCTTAATATCTCAGCTTAAATCGCTTATGCACTGCGTTCTTACGAGCGTGACAACAGAAACACAGAAGTCTTTACAATTAATATTTCAATGCGCCGAAAATGAATCAATTTTACGATCCTTTTACAACTGAGGTTGAATAAAGTTACAGTCCTTTGAAAACTGGTTGCAAATTATTACTGTCAAAGAAAATTATCGCGCTCGAAATGTTAGAGAGCGCTTGTGTCGTCACTATTACGCTTTAACCCCAAAGCCATCTGGCACTGAGACGTATGGAAGGTAGCCATGGCAGTTTTGTAATTGCACATGTGAAACATAAATGAACGCTGAAATTTCGCGCCAAAATTAATTAAGGAATAACTCGTCACCCATGATATTATGGCTCTAAAGCAACAATACAGTCCTTCTTTTAAAATTGAAACTATAGGGCTAACGGTACCGTTTTTTTTGTTCTGTTTTTTTAACTTTTATTTGCTATATTTGCAGTGCTCAGTGACCTGTGGCTTAGGAGTAAGAAAGCGAACGGTTGAATGCAGCGATAAAAGTAGCAGTTGTGATGCTAGAACCAAACCAGAAACGACTGCATTATGTAATCTCAAAGCCTGCCCACAATGGAAAACAAGTCAGTGGGGAGAGGTAAGCTATTTATGATGTTCCACTTTCTACACTTTAAACGAACATGGAAATAATTGCACTTAAAGTAAAGAACTTGATTCAGACCAGGAATCGCGTACTAGTGGTGTTATGGCCAGTAACGTTTTTGATAGACAGACAGTGCATTGTAGTCGTCTTATTTCGGCGAAGTTTGTTGGAAAATCACACCCGTTGGACGGGAAAAAACCCTTGAAATTAGAACATATGAGAATGTTTACTTGAATTGTAAAAGCCTTGCTTCTTTCCAAAACAAAGAACCTTCAAACGGCCTCTTATATTTTGCACCGAAAATGAAGAGCGCGCGGGTGCCTCGTGGGAAAGGATGCAACAGGAAGCCACACAATTTGCAGTTTAATTGTTATTCTGTGACTTATGTTTAGTGTTCAGTGACCTGCGGTCAAGGACAAAGGCAACGTGAAGTACAATGCAGATATGAGGATGGTAAAGCAAGTAATGAATGTGATGAAAGCAATAAGCCAAAGAGCATCTTTGTCTGTGTGTTGGGAGAGTGTCCAGTTTGGCGCGAAGAGCCCTGGGGAGAGGTCAGTGCAAACACTTACTTACAGTCCCTCACTTACACACACAATTACAATTGGTCACTTTCACGATGACGTCATAGTGATAGGTCCAAACCTTGTACAAGAGACGTTAAACAAAAAGAGCTTATTATTGCTTATTATCTCCAGAGGATTTTGTAAATTGAGGCTATGGTGGATAAATTAATGCTCTGTTGCTTTAGGCAGGCTCCCGGCCGTAATTTTTGTCATTTGATATTGACTTAAGGCTTGGCGCACGCTACTGGTGTACACGAGCGTAACACCGTGCCTTACGCACGATTCGCGCTCAAGAAAAGGCACGGTTTTTGTGCCAAAGCACGGGAAAAAAACATGCAAAGGCACAGATTAGGCACACTTTAGGCACAGTTAAGGCACGTTTTAAATATTGCTAAGGCACACTTTAGGCACAGTTTTGGCACGGTTTAGGCACGGTTTGGGCACAAATATTCAACGCTGGGCACTTTTTTGAAAATCTTTGTAACCCGACTTGCAAAAAAGAACAAACTTGGTACGAATTACAAAAATAATTCAGATCAAACACGATACAGTTAGAAGTATAGGAAGTGTAAGTTTTGAGCCGCGCCGAAAGTCGGGAAAATTAAAGTATTCTTCGACAGTCCGTGTTTACTCCGAGGATAAAGTGGAAATTCACACGCGATATATGCCGGTCTGAACCTTTTCGATTGCCATGCAATTTTATAGACTCGCTTTCTTTCGTTTCTAAAAGAAATCGTGAAAGAAAGTCGAAGCCATAATAACAAAAACAAAGCTAAAGAAGTGAGGCACAAAAATAGCCAATAAAAGTCGTAGAAAATACTTTTTGCGATCGCGGTAAAATTGGCCTGAATTTGCATAACAACATGAAAAGTACAAAGTGGTAATTTGAAACCTTCATGCCAACGCGTGTTGTTTTTTAAATACAAAATGCGGCTGCTTTTTAAAAATATTTCTCTAACTAAAAAAGTAGGATTTACACTGTAGTAAAATAATTCAAGCTGCTTGTTTGTTTTTGTTTTCTGGCTCTGTTAGCAAATTAAGCTTTGATCGTATAATAATCGATGAGACGTGCCATTTATTTCAAAACTCATCGGCGTGCAATCAATTTTTTCGTTTTCATTTTTTAAGTCATATCACAAGTAAATTCTTTTCTTGAATGCAAATCTGCCCTCCTGAAAAAAACAAATATTTCGTTCCAACTAAACGCTCCATTAAGAAGGGGAGAAGAAACCTACTTGGAAATTTTTTAACATCGATGAAATTAGCATAATATCAACAATGTAATTGAGCTGAGCACTTACTTTAAATACGCTAACCTGTTTAAGATTCCATTTTCCTGTTTGTCGGGGCTTTCCCTGCTGTCTCTAACGGTATTCTGAGTCATGTTATTTCTTATTAGGGGATAAAAAGGTCGTCAGACCGTGTTTCTAGACTTCGTAAGCCTCAAAACTGACATAATTGCCGTGCGCCCTTTTCGTTCGCTGTGGAGCTCGGTAGGCTGGACACGATTTCCCGAGTGACTCAATATTTTGGCACAACTTGTGCACAGATTAGGCACAGTTTGGGCACAACTTAGGCACGGCTTAGGGACGTTTTTCAAAACTAAAATACACACTTTATGCACATCTTAGGCACATTTTAGGCACAAAATCTTTATGCCAAAGCACACTCTAGAATCCGATTTTCGGTCCAACGCACGGTTTACGAATTTTCACGTTAAAAAATGCTGTCTAACCTTACATATTTGATCTTAGCGTAAAAATGGGTTTCCCGAAGTCTTAACAGTTAGTCTATAAGGAAAATTTAACTTATGAGCATTCCAAAAATTATTATTTCTTCTCTTAACATCAACAGAAAGTCAATGAAAAGCAATCTTTTAAATTGACGTTCGCGCTGCACAGAGATCGTATGTAGACAGAACATCTTTCTGAAAACGCCCTAACTTTGTTGTTTTGCCATTATGTTCAGTAATTTTTAATACAGTTAGTACTCATAAGTCACTGACCTCTTCAGAGAAATTTTTCCAAAGTACCATTAACAGAAACAGAGAAATCCCACAATATGCGTGGTTAGACTATAAATGTTACGCGAGCTGTTAAAAAATGGTCCCATTTTGAGCCATATTTTTCATATTTCAATTTTATTTTGGTCTTACAGCCAGGAAAAAAATATTCAGTGAAAAGCTGTTTATAAACTTTAACTTCTTGCCAAATATCGATGCGATCTGAGTTTTAATAAGTTCATAAGAGCCAAACGATGTGAGATTCTTAGCCGTGTACACCAGTAGCGTGCGCCAGGCCTTAAACCTTTATCTCTTCACTGACCCGCTATTTTCTTCTTAACGTTAGAGATTGTCGAGCGCACGTATGAATATAAAAACCGCGGTGCAAAATTCGTCGAAGAAAATGATAAAGAAAAGAGGACCGTTGACAGGCTTCTTTAACCCATTAGGAAGAATTTTAGCAGCTCTCTTACATCCTCGCTTATATGGTCGTTTCGCCTTGCTCGTTGAAATTTTATTTATCAAGCGGAACTAAAATAGAGCCTAGCCTTAGGTAATGTTGACTTGTGATAAGCGTACTCCACGAATCACATCATCATGTCGGCATTTTCCGCACGAAGGGTCTGTCTCTTGCTTTTCTAACTTAAATTCTAACAGCGATTAATTTTTTTATGTTCCAGTGCTCAGTTTCCTGCGGTAAAGGTATCAGACAGCGAAGTGTCAGCTGCAGACTAGCGAGTGGCCAGTTAAGTCCCGGATGTAGCGAGGAAAACAAACCTACATTCAGAGAACCTTGCAACATTAGACCGTGTCCAACATGGATAACAGGAGACTGGGGCAAGGTAATGTGTCACCTGATTGCTTAAGAGTATTTATTATCAATGTTTTTTTATAGTTTGTTTTGTTTGTTTGTTTTGAGAGGGAACAACAGACAGTTATTGGATAAACTGGCAAACGTTTGACCCTGTACCACATGTTATGATTTTTGCTCTCTCTCTCTCTCTCTCTTTCGTTGTGGGGAATTAGACGTTCATTTCATTTCTATTTATTTTGTTTACAGTGCTCAGTAACCTGTGATTCTGGAATCAAAGTTCGTTCTGTGGAATGTAGTGATAAGGACTTCAGTTGTGATGCGAGAACTAAACCGCAAACCACGACTCAATGTAACCTTAAACCTTGCCCAAGATGGAAAACAAGTCCATGGGGAGAGGTAAACTGTTACTTGCATACAAACGCCAAAAGTAGATAAAACTTTCTTCACTTTTCACCAACTACACAAGACAGCACACGAAGTTTCTTTGTATGGCAATTTTGTGCTCTGCGGAAAAAGAATAAAGCCTTTCCACATGACCTCCCGTCCGCCATGTTTGCGGCCATGTTGGTGTCTTTTAAAAACTAGTCCCGTGGTGGTGGAACTCTTTTCATTTGTAAACGATTTCTTTCTTCGCGATAATATTGCATAGCTGTAGGCCACGTGAGTGAAAACGCTCTATAGAGCACCAAAAAAAAGGGAGCGCAGTCCGTAATCATGCACGCTATGTAGGAGCAAGGAGAGGGAGCTTGAAAAGAAGCATAAAATCCGCAGTTTAATCGTTGTCTTGCTGCTTTCGTGTAGTGTTCTGTGACTTGCGGCCAAGGACAAACGCAACGTGAAGTACAATGCAGTTATGAGGATGGCACGACAAGTAATCAATGCAATCGAGGTAAAAAACCGGAGAGCATCATGGACTGTGTAAGGGAAGATTGTCCCACCTGGCGCGAGGAACCCTGGGGTGAAGTAAGTACAAACCTACGGGATATTATTACGATGACGTCATTTGAGCTGTGTCGTACCCAGATCTCTTGTCGACGAAGCCAAGAGATCTAGGTTCGAGATAAGTTGTCATAAAGCACGTTCACAATAAGCTATCGTGAGGGGAAACAAATTTATTAAACGTCCTTTTTGCTCCATTTTAGTGCTCCGTTTCCTGCGGCGAAGGTATCAGACAGCGAAGCGTCAGCTGCAGACTACCGAGTGGCCAGTTAAGTCCCGGATGTAACAAGGACAACAAACCTGCGGCGAGAAAAAATTGCAACATCAGACCCTGTCCAACATGGATAACAGGAGACTGGGGCAAAGTAAGACATCATTTTTACTTCATTAATAGTTCCTGATAAGAAGCGCAGTTTTTGTTAGTTTCTGTCTTTCTTTTTTGTGAAGTATTTTTCGTTTTCATCATTGTTGGTTGTTTCGTTTGTAGTGTTCAGTGAGTTGTGGCTCAGGAATTAAGATTCGATCGGTTGAATGCAGCGATAAGGACTTCAGTTGTAGTGAAATAACAAAACCGCAAGCCACGATGCAATGCAACCTAAAAGAGTGTCCCGAGTGGAAAACAAGTCCATGGGAGGAGGTGAGCGAGCAATTGCAAAGATTTAGCGAGGAGCATTTTGCTTGAATAAAATCCATTAGATCTTTCTTTTTCTTTCACAAAACTGGATGCATTCGACATGGCTGATCCTTGAAGTATACAGGACGCGTGTCATGACTGGCTGAGTTCCGTAGGATAGCCGCCTTTTTGTTTGTTTGTTTTTCAAACTAGTGAATAAACGATATAAAGGGCGTGTTTAATTGACCGTATTTTGGAGGAAGAAATGTATGGAATAAACTTAAGAAATCACTTAACTTTGGCATTCATTGCATGGTAAAATCTAGAAATCTGGTGGGTATTAATTATTAAGGTGAATCTAACATTCCAGTGGTCCAAAAAATCGCGGAGGAACGATTTGTGACAAATTTTGCGTACTCTTATTCCGGAATATGATCAATCGAACACACCCTTAGATTAACAAAACAGTTGTTAAATAAGCTACTTCTGAGTTCCAAAAACCATCTATTTCCAAATAAGGCTAAATGTAAAAATGAGTCTCATTTGCATGAGAATAAAAAAAATCATTTTAATGTCAATGACTTTGCTCTTAGCCTCGCTTTGAAACAGAGGCTTGAGGCAACTCGGAAGTAGCCTATTGGTCACCTTGAAGTTACTCGTGAGACTGCACCGGTGCTGTGTCGAAATGCATTATGGGACTGTTTTGGAGGTGGAGTTTGTTCCAGCTACCCGCGCAGCTTTGTAATAGCCAATTGCCTAATGTCAAACCGAGGGAGCTGTGTACGAGTTGGTTCACAAGGTTTGTGTTTATTGGGCCAATATTGAACGAGATGCAGCGAATCATAACTGCAAAATTTACTAAGAAATATCTATAGACGTTCGGACAGTGTACCCGGCAATGCTACATCTCTTAGTAAACTTTCAACTTTTTAAACAGCTGTATCTTTTTAAAATATTGTCGCGACTAACACTAAATATGTGAATTTTGTAATGCTCGGTGTCTTCTACGTGCATCTCGTGTTGTTTATTCCATTAAACAATTAAGCACTCGGTTTGAAATTACGCAATGAAAGGAGCGATAGCGTCACATAGCTGTCCTATGGTACAAGTCGACACAACATCAACCCAGGCTTACGCGGAAATCTCAAAATGGTCTATACTCATTTAAGAGGCGCAAATAACTTTTTGTTTACTTTCTAGTGCTCTGTCTCCTGTGGAAACGGTACCAGGCGGCGAAGCGTTAATTGCAGACTACAAAATGGCCAGTTGAGTCCCGGATGTGACGAGGAAAACAGACCTGTAACGATAGAAGCTTGCGACATTAGACGGTGCCCAACATGGATTACCAGGGACTGGGGAGAGGTAAAAATTCGACCCCACTGACTTCTGTTCTTATTTGCCAATGAAAGGACAAATCAGCATGATCAAATGAAGTGACACTGTGGAGTTTCATAATAACCTGTGTCACAATAGAGGAAATATATGAAAGCTTGAATTTTACGAATCTATCACAAAGAATGTACACTGGATCGAAACTTGAACATTTTTTTCTTAATTCTGGACTTGCTTTCTAATGTAACCTTGTGGAGTCAATTTTGTTACTTTTGTAACTTTTGGGTCTCTCAATTTATTCCAGTGTTCTTTGACTTGTGGCTCAGGAATAAAGCTTCGCGTAGTAGAATGTAGTGACAAAGACTTTCCTTGTGACGCGAGAACGAAGCCACAAACAACAGCCCAATGTAACCCGGAACCCTGTCCAGAGTGGAAAGCGAGGGCCTGGGGACAGGTAAGGAATCAACTACCTTTCTTTTTCTATATGCAGTAGTGAACAGTAACTTGCCGGAGGGAATTGCTACCAGGCAGGGCAATAAGTGGGTAGTTTTAGTTGTCACGCTTATGGCAAACGTCTAACGTCAGTTTCAAGTTGAGAATTTCTCAAAATAGAAAATAAGCTGATAAAACTGAAAAGTCCAGGGCGATTCTTATGCACAAAACTAATGTGAAAATACTTTTTTTGGAGAAAGAATTGAACAGTAAAAGACAAGTAAAGCGAAAACTTGGTCACGTCGTACCAATTTACGTTTGTCGTTTGCCGTAAACGAGACTCAGCTCTAAATCTTTCTTTTGACTCACTGCGGCGCATTTTTTACATTGCGTACACAAAAATAATCTTCAAAATGCGCAGCCAGAAACCGGAGAAATTATTGTTGTGCTGTGGAGCTAAAAAGATTTGGCTATTGCCTGGTTTCAAACCGTGGGGCACCTGGTATGAGGTCGTTTATCATGGGATTAGGGAGCTGTTTTGCTTAGCACTCGCGAGGAATAACCCACACCTCGCGCTTTAGAAGTCAAATGAAACTCTGAGTAGTACCTTTGCCAGTTTTTGAATAGTGGTCATTGCATTTGTTTCTCTCTAGTGCTCAGTGTCCTGTGGAGTGGGTGTCCGGCAGCGAGGTGTTTATTGTGTATCACGAAATGGCCGGCTTAGCTCCGGATGTACCCAGAAAACCAAACCCTTCACAAATGAAGCTTGTAACAAACGACCGTGCCCTACTTGGCTTACAGGAGACTGGGGCAAAGTAAGAGGCTGTCTTGATTGTTTCAAGTTTTTTTGTTTGTCTTTTTTTGTTGTTGTTGTTGTTGTTGTTGTTGTCTATGTCTAGAAAAAGCTCTGAAATAGTCCTTGGTTTACCATCTCAGTAAGTGCATTGGTAAACGACTTATTGTTTGCATGTCTCACAATGTAAGTCACTTGAAAAGTAGATCGCAACGTTTCGTCACCTTACTGCCGGTGTTTTTTTTTTTTTTTTACTGTATTATGGGACGGCTAATAAGCGACCAGTAGGCCACTTCCACGATGACGTCATTTTACCGACTACGACCAGAATCTTTTAGGGCTTTGCTTCCTTGTGCATATTAGGGTTTTTTTTAATCTAAACCTCAATGGGATTACCAATTTAAATATGAAAGGAAAAGCGAAAAGGATCCTGGGGCCCGTTTCTCGAAAGTCCCGGTAACTTTACGAGCCCGAAATCAAATATTCGAATCGAAATATAAAGAATAAGAGCGCGGGTCCTGGCTAGCAAACAACTCCATTTTGTTTCATTAACTGACAGTTTTATCACGTTAGATGCAAAACTATTGAAACCTCGATCTTTAATGTAAACGGAGACAGCTTACCGGGCCCGTTGATTATCGAGACTTTCGAGAAACGGGCACCTGGTCGTAGTACATGTAGTAAAATGACGCCATCGTGCAAATGGCCTATGAGTTTCTTCTATTGTTTACTGATTAATCCAACCACCTACTTACAACAACGTCCTTGGATGATCTATTTGCAGTGCTCAGTAACTTGTGGTTTGGGGGTAAAGAAGCGTTCTGTTGAATGCAGCGATAAAGACGTTAGTTGCGATGCGAGAACAAAACCACAAACCACGGCGCAGTGTAACTTGAAAACATGCCCTCAGTGGAAGACAAGTCCATGGGGAGAGGTAAATATTAATAATTAGACAGAAAATCTTCACCTTTTTAATGTGTTACAGTTACAATTTCTTGAAGGGCTTTTTGACGAAACAGTCTTACAAAGATTTTGTGGGTCCTCTTAGGAAAGATGGCATACTGGATATAGCCTGTATACATACCCTTCCCCCCTCCCCTCCCATTTTTCCTGTGGGAAGGGGGATCTGTGCACAGGCTAGCTGGATATGCGCATGGAAAATTATAGGGATACGGGACATTCGAGCATAACATAGAGAGAGAAGTAGGGACAAGAAATTCGGGGAGCGTGAATGTCAAAGAATCGTTTCTGATAGAATAAGGAGCTTAACGAAACTTGAGAAAAAGACTCATTAATGAGATTGTTGTCGTTTTTGTGTTGATTGTTGCTAGCCTAAAAAAACAGCCAACTTTTGGCGACGCTACGACTGGGTTCCCCTCCAAATAACGTCTGAGAAACGAGCGCAGAAATTCCATACTGATGACGCGTCACTACCTAGATCTGGGTACTGCTTCTGATTGGTCGTGCCGCGTGAGAAATTTATTCAACCAATCAGAAGCACTACCCAGATCTGGGTAGTGACGCGTCATCAGCATGGAATTTCTGCGCTCGTTTCTCAAACGTCATTTGGCGGGGAACCCAGTCGTAGCGTCGACAAATGTCGGCTGTTTTCTCAGGCTAGGAAATGGCTATCCTCTCCTCGAAATGAGTCACCATAAGTTTTGGCATAATTGCAAGAATACAAAGCATTGAAATTAACGGGATACTGGATATTTAGACCCAAGAATTTATGGGATGTGGGATACGCAATTACCATCTAATGTGGCCTCGCCGTAGGAAAATGCATTTGTCAAGTGTTATTTTGCCGAAGTTGTTATTTGTCCAATTCAGCGTAATTTCTGTGCTGAGGTTTAAATTGTCCCAGTCGAATCGTCGCTTGCGTTTTGCTTGAACACATGATTGTACTTTACAACTTTGTTATTTTCTTCAGTGTTCCGTGTCATGTGGTAGCGGCCTCAGAAGACGTTTGGTGCGTTGCCATGGAGAAAGTAGCAGATGTGACTATAGAAGCAGACCAAAGAGTGTGGAAAGATGTAACCCTGGAACATGCCCAACTTGGAAAACAGGGACATGGAGCAGGGTAAACAGCAAGATACTGAAGCTATTCTTTAAAATAAATCAAGAGGGGTATTAAAAGAAATGTCGCAATAATACCACACCCTTTTTTCCTAATAATTTGCCCGTCATTTGTCGAAAGACTACAGTAAGATAGAACCATTTGTGACTTGGTCGCTGGTAGTTTAAGTATTTGGAGCCATCAAAGGCATCCCAGACTCTACGGGAGCCGTTTGGTTTTAAACTTTCTACAATAATGTAATGGAATTTAAACAAAATATGCCCCTGATCCTGCCTTTTTGAAAAGTTCCAAATCATAGTGACCAACTTAACTGTGTTTGTGTTGTTGCTGTTGTTGGAGCCATTTCGAAGTCAACTGGAATTTTAAAGCTCACCATATTTTGTTTACTTCAATACATTTTCGTATATACTTTTAAAAAACTATAATTAATATCTTCCGTAGAGTCTGGGCCGCCTGTTGAGATGCCTTTATATATTTGCTTGAAGGCCTAAGTCTCTGTGATTGATCAAAGTCATCATCAAAACCTTGTTTTTGAGAACTTGAGACTCAATCATCACTACTTCCTTCGGAAAAATGTGTAAGTGATGTTTCTTGTCCTATTTAACCTCCTTTCAGTGTTCGAAAACCTGTGGAAATGGAATAAAATTTCGTCCTGTGAATTGTCATGGCCTCAACTCTCAGTGCGACCTCAAAACTAAACCGGTCACGAGGGCCCACTGTAATCTTGGACCTTGTGCCGAATGGAAAGTGGGGGACTGGCAACAGGTATTGTTGTTTGCAGAGTGCCAGAGTCCCTTTTTTTACAATTTAGTGTCGCCAGAAATAGTAAAATGTGATGCGATGTACTTTTTAGTGTACGGTTACCTGTGGCAGAGGATGGAGACGCCGCACTGTGGAATGTACTACAAGAAGATTACGATGCGATTACAGAACTAAACCTGACGTGTACGACATGTGTGACATGGGAAAGTGTCCTGTGTGGAAAGCTGGGCGGTGGGGTGAGGTGAGTGAGTATAGCCCCTGATCTTCTGGAGCCTATTAATTTGTTACAATGTCATTCATATATAAGCAAAACGCGACAGAGTAGGAATGCCGCAGGGGTGAGAGCAGTCGCCTGTCACCACTTTAGTCTGCTCTTCCCCTTCCCACTCGAGCGCCCTCAACTTAGGGTATCACCAATGTAGCCCAAATTGGAGTTTCGGCATTGTTTTGACAGGGAAGGAAGAACTATAGTTTCGTCACTTAAACAGCTATTTATAGAGACATGAAGGACATAAAGCAAGAGCTTTAAGAACTCTAAGGGGTACCGTGGATAAGCAAATAACACTTTTACATAACATTTTCGTCCTTTATTATTTCGCAGTGTTCTGTGTCTTGTGGAGAAGGTGTTAGAAGGCGATCCGTTGAATGCACTGGAGGAGAGGGCAAATGCAACTCTAGAACCCAACCTATATCAACAATCAGATGTAACCTTGGTTCCTGTCCCCAGTGGAAAGCTGGACAATGGAGTCAGGTACAAACCGAAAGTTGATATAATCGTCAAGTAGCAATGACGAAGCGACGCTTTTAACAACTAGGGTGACAGTCCTTTCGTGTTATGAGCGGAATGACGTCACGATTTGGTCATTTCGTGACGTCAGCACGCCCATCACATCCTCGTTTAGCCTGCGAGCAAGCTCACCATTTGAGGGAGGCGGGAGAAGCCACGCGAGAGCCGCTTGGGAAACGCAGCTCCGCCCCTCGCCGCTTCGCCGCTCGCTCGTGCGTTTTGTCGCGGCTCGGCATAACTGGAGAGCTTGCACTCAGGCTAGTCCTCGTTTAACATGGAATTATCTTTATTCGCTGAATATACCTTGCAAAATCTAAAAGAAAACCATGCAGTCTGGAGTACTTAAACAAAATTCAGGACGAAAGATGAGAATTCTATGTGTCCTGACAATGCACGGTTAGAATACAGCTTGTTTTCTACCGCAGGAAGATGTCTTTTATCACGGGTTGGTGAAATTAAGCTGGGAGATATGACATAACATGACATCTCTTTTCTCTCTCTTTTTTTTACTTCTCAATCAGTGTTCCGTGTCTTGTGGGAATGGTGTAAAATCACGCAGCGTGGAGTGCAGTGGAAATAGGGGCAAATGTGATGTACAAACCAAACCCACGTCCACGGACAGCTGTAACCTTGGTTCCTGCCCTGTGTGGAAAGTTGGAAACTGGGGCCGGGTAAGAATCCCTCTGTATGTTCACTTTATGCAAGAAAACCTTTTGATGAACTTATCCACTTATCTAGGAAATGCTGTTACCAGGGTCTGAAAGGATATTCTCGAGATCCCGGATTAGAACGCCACTCGGGAAGTGGGATTCGCCAAAATCTCCGCAGGGGTATTGCCGCGCAGTGGCGGATCCAGACTTTCAGATAAGGGGGAGGGGGGGGAGACGGTCTCAAATGCAATTTTTTTGCGGGCCTCAGTTTGGACTAAATATAACGGGGGCCCCTCCGTGGATCCGCCACTGATTGGGAAAGAAAACGGTTTTCAGGAAAAAGATGACAGAAGTTCGGGATACGGGTTGGTCGCGAAAAAGGGGCGGGAATGCGGGCTGAGGACACCTTCAAGCCCCCATCCCCCCGCCCCCCCGCCTCCTTGCAGACCCTGAGTTACCTCCCTTATTTCATTTCCTCAACTTTGGCAAACAAAAGCAATATCTCATTCACCCACATCCACGACAACAAAAACAACAAATTGTATTTAGATTTAACATATAAGTAATTACATTATTTTCCCATCCGCAAACAGGTTATAAACTAATCTAGGCGGGAGGAGGGGGGCGGGGTGGAGGGACATACAATTTTAATACAAGGTTCATCTATTTGATCGACTAAACAACATTCAACACACACCCGTCCATCCTGGTCAGCCCACGTGACCATCGCCTGAAACTGGGAGCCGAAGCTGACGTCTTTCGTGGTTTTAATCGACTTTTATCACCCTAAAACTAATCCATGTTTGCTATATAGCAAATTAACAGCCGTCTAACCTACCATGCAGAGGTTCGTCTTGCGTTCGTTTCCCACGTTAGTTGGGAAGCAACGTGTGACAAAGCCTTAAGAACATCCACGTGGGAACGCGTGACAAGGCCTTAAGAACGTCTTCGTGGGAACGTGTGACAAAGCCTTAAGAAAGTCTACCTGGGAACGCGTTAGAAAGCGTTAAGAACGTCTACATGGGAAGCCAGGAGCTGTCTACTCATTAGAAAACTTTGTAAGGCGTTGTGTAATTTTTTTTCCAGTGCTCTGTAACTTGTGGAGATGGATTTAGAAAACGGGAGGTAACATGCAGCAGATTAGATGTCAGCTGTGACGCTGGAAAGAAACCACAAGCTACATCCAGCTGTAACCCTGGCTCGTGTCCCGAATGGAAGGTCGGCGAATGGGGAAAGGTAAGTTATAAGTTGTTAGGATTGGGAAGTTTTTTTCAAACCTGTGAGCAAGCTCTTCATTCCTAATGGCGCGCAAAGCAAGCCGCGAAAGAATGCGAGTCTCCTTTCACGTACCGCTAGCACGTGGCTTCTCATGATATTCCCCAAATCGAGAGCTTGTCAGTCGCAGGCTAGGATTTCCCCGCTAATGCAGTCAACTCTCTCAGTCTAACACCTCCCTCCTCCGCAGAGGCCTCTTTGTGTCGTAAGGAGACTGTGGAGAAAGAAAAAGAAAGCGCGCGGGGCACGATGGGAAGAGGAAAAAGAGAAAAGAGGCCTTTCTTTCTTCCCATCATCTCCCTCGCGCTTTCTATATTTCGATTACAGTATTGCTATTTTTATTGGGATACACAGCGGGAGCATCTGCGGAGGAGAGAGCTCTAACATGGGGTCCGTCTTATAGAGACTCCACCGAAAGGAGTAAAGGAAAGCAGGGACTAAATCTAGGTGTTCGTTTTAGCGAAGTGTCCGTCCTATATGGAGGTGTTTGTTAAGAGAGAGGTGACTGTACACTCTATTAATTGCGGGCGATAAGAGAAGCACGCAATCCTAATCTGCAAATGTTGTTATTTCGCATGCGTCACATGTATGTAGCCAGCATTCGTTTGGACTTCCACTAAGAATGAATGGAATACACAAAACGCAATTTTATCACGCGCGTTTCGACCTTCTACTCCTCGTACTCTGATCACGCGTGTTTTGACCATCTGTCACGTGAAACTTACGCAAGGCGTTTGGACCTCCGATCGTTCTCGCCCGCACCCCCTAACCTTTGGTTATTGCTAGTTTTATAGTAAATGTCAACTATAAAGACTTCGGAGATCCTTTAGGGCCAAGAATTCAAGTTTCAAAGCACTTAGTGAATTACTAAGAATCCTTCGATCTTACCTTGCTACATTTGTAACAAGCGTCCAAACCTTTCACCCTTTTTTAGTGTACTGTCACTTGTGGAAATGGTTTCAGAGGGCGGGCCGTACTGTGCAGCGGAGGAACAAATAAATGTGATTCTATTTCCAAACCGAAAGCCATTACGCAGTGCAACCCTGGTACCTGCCCTACATGGACTGCAGGAGAATGGAGTAAGGTAAAGATCAAATATCAAAAGTGTATTTTGTTGCGAGTACCAAGACGTGCTTGTCACCCTGCACAGGCGTCACGGCGTCTCATCTTTCTTTTCGCCTACACTTGAATCACGTTTCGTGCTCGTTGGTCTTTCACTCACTAAGACTGACCCACTCGCCAAGAGCTGTAGAAATGTACAAGTTGCACTTAGAAACTTTCTTCCTCCTGCCCACCGTCGCCTTGCCAACACTTCACGTTGTCACTCAAAAATATGCGTCTTCTCAAGTTCACCCTGACAACAAGTTACAAATGCATCTCAGAAGTCTTAAAACAGATTTCTTCGTCTCTTTATAAGTCGATCACGTATTTTATTGTCCTCAACTTTCTTCTTAGTGTTCCGTTACGTGTGGTAGTGGCAGGAAGCAACGTGAGGTCACATGCAGCAGATCAGATGCCACGTGTGATGCGACAAACAAACCAGCGTCTACTGCAAAGTGCGAACTTGGCGCATGCCCTAGATGGGAAATAGGGGACTGGGGTCAGGTTAGTGTGAGCGGATATCTGGAAGAGCAAGAGACAAATAGGATAACTGCGTGATAACGTCATTTTACTTCCAGAAACGTTCAGTTTGTTGTCTTATTGTGCAAGTTAGGGCCTATTATCTTCGGTTGGTCCACGTATTTCTAGTGACTTCATTCCTCGGAAAGGGTTTTGTAACAAGTTATCAGAAGTGAAATGATTTTATTCCTCTGGAGTTTGACCTCACTAATTTTTCTTTCCAGAGGATGTTCCGGAGTGTCTTGGGGTTGATCCGGGTGTGTTCGGGAGTGTTCCGCACTTCCGGGCCTGAAAATATCTCGGGCCAGTGTGAAATAGCTAACTGAATAACAGAAAAGGCGAGCAAAACGTTCCCGTACCGAAGCGTGACGTCACTAGAAGTATGAAGACGGTTGGGAAGTCAAAGGGCCTTTCGACGGATGTAATTGAGTGGACATATCAAAATTCATACTTATCTCTAAGGCTTGGGGGAATGAAAGAAAAGAAATGTGTTATTCTTCCCAGAACCTCTAGGTTATTTCCTTTGTTGAGTGTTCTCGGAACCTAGCAAAAATATAATTTATCGACCATGGTCTATTGGCATGGAATTATTGAATAACACCGCCACGCTTGAAAGAAGTTTGTTTATGGCCTAATTCTGGTAAAAAGTGTTCTTCATTTGAACATTAAAATTCTACAGTTGGTCAGGCTTTCTTTTAAGAAATAAATTGCTTTTCCCTTTGTAGTGTTCAGTGACCTGTGGGAGTGGAATTAAAACACGGGCTGTCCACTGCAGTGGAGCGTTCAACAAGTGCGATCCCTCAAAAAGACCCGCGAGTTCCACTAGCTGCAGTTCTGCTCCTTGTCCACGGTGGAAAGTTGCTGCGTGGTCAAAGGTAGATACTATGAAAAAGTAACCCATTAAAATGCACTCAGACTTTAGCGTATGAAGAAGTGCATAGATTTACTTAGGGAACTTGGGAATGAATGCAGAATCGACAAGGTGGAAGTCAGGAATCGCTAAGTTTTGAGCTCTAATTAAGGGTTCCAACCAACACCCATCAAATAGCCTCACCTCTGACTGTATGTGTGTTGTGGTCTCATTCGCTTAGAAGACCCTTCAGTGCAAGCTAACCAGCCAGGCCGACCACATGCTGGCAAAGATGGACCACCACAGTGGGGACTAGGCCCCCTACTCTTTACAGACAGTGTATGGGGTTCCTTTAAAGTCCCACGTATTTTAAATGAGTAAGGGTTTTAGTCAAGACCTTCAGTTTATCGTCTTTACCTCTTTTAGCCTGAAGGAATGTGGGAAGTTCTGGGAGGTAGCAGAAGTCAAGTTTATTTACTTCTTATAAAACTCCGCTCTGTTTTAGTGTTCTGCATCTTGTGGAGGAGGAGTTAAGGAACGTCTGGTCGAATGTGTAGTGGAGGATAAGAAGAGCTCTGCCTGTGACACTGGGACCAAGCCAGTTGCTCAAGCAAGCTGCAACCTGGGCCAATGCCCACAGTGGAAGATAGGAGAATGGACGGAGGTACTCACTGGAGCAAAGAAATTCCCCTCCCCTCCCTTCCCCTCCTCCCTCCTTGAGCACCAATAAATCGTCGCCAGCTATAGATGGTTTATCTTTCTACTGTTGCAACAACTTTTCCGTTACCTTTTGGCAAAGCGTTCTTAAATATTTATTTTCCAGAAGTAGTCTCATTCTGTTATTATTGGGCTGTCTGTGGCAGAGTTTATCTAGTTTGTACAGATCGTTCTTTTCTTTTGTTCTATTGACGCTTAATAATTTCAAGGTTACACAATGGTGGGTGGAAAGTTTAACCCTAGCCACAGAAGTAAAAGGTTTTTCAACATCTGCGATCTTATTTTTGTCGTTCTACCTATTTTGTTTCAGTGTTCAGTTACTTGCGGTAGCGGAATCAAACAACGGAAAATAGAGTGTGTTAGCGGAGTGGACGCCTCATGTGACGAAAGAACAAAACCATTAGCGACAGGCAAATGTGATCTTGGACGCTGCCCCAGATGGCACACGGGGAGGTGGACTGGGGTAAGTTACTTACCTAGATATAACGAACTTCCATATGACGAAGTCCTGGTTATAACGAACAATATTCTTTGCCACAGTAATAGCAATTTAATAATGGAAAAGAACCTCTATATCTCGATACAGGGAACGTATTTTGCCAGTCTGTTGTTCCTTTCTTATATCGAGGTTCTGCTGCGTTGCCTTCGTTAACATCTTTTTCTCTGTAGGAGGGGTGTATTTGCACTACCTAGAATCCCCTAGAGGTCGATTATTTCAGGAGTAACGATGTGTGGCTGTGTACAAATGCTTCTTATGACACTCGAGTCAGTGACAGGTTTTTTTGCAAACACCGTACCTTCTTAATGAGTCACACGATTTCAGCACCAATCAGCTGAACACAGAACTGAATGAGATACCGAAATGAAAGCTCAAAACCGTAGGCGAACGCAAAAGAAGTACAGAAAATCCCAGCCTGTTCCAGGCTCCGAGATGATCGGATCCACGAAATTTAGAAAGAGCGAAAACGAAAATAAAACGGCAGGGAACTGGGGAGAGGAAGGGCGGCGGACTTCCCTTTTCCCGCAACCGCCCTCTTCTCCCACATCAAACAATTATATTTTCGCGTGCCTTTCACTAACGCTGAGAGCCTGGAACAGGCTAAGAAAAGCCAAAATGGTACAGATAGGCAAAACTAGCGAAAATTAAGGATGTTGGACCCTGGTCAGGAGCCGATCGGCTCCTGCCCTGGTAGACTTACAAAAAAAGTGGCACAGAGAGTGAGTCCTTTGAAAAACGTGCTCAAATATTCTTTGTTTTAAGCGATGATTGTGACAGTAAACAGGAAAAAACCTTTGCCTTGCAGAGCCCTTCGAGGGTCTAGCAGTTTGTAGGGCAAAGGCAAAACCTTTATATGTTAGTTATTTTAAGACCCTAAGAATTGGATCGGGGCCCCGGAGATCGAACACGTGACCTATCGCTCTGCAGCCCATCACTGTTGCGACCGAGATAGCTCTGTCGCAGTTTAAAGTAACTGTGGTCTTAAAATTTCCCTTGCAGTGCTCTCGCACATGCGGCAAAGGTATCAAAAGAAGAGCTGTTGGGTGTTTTTCAATGACCACTCGAAAACAAATCAACGATGAAGCCTGTGAACCAAAGCTCAGACCCGCTACTCAGCTAGAATGTACCATCAAGAGCTGCATTCCGGAAGCTAGATGGCGCAAAGGCAGCTGGGGGAAGGTAAGGATATTTAGTAATTATTGAATGAGGCTAAGTAGGATGTGAAGAATTATGCAAATCCAGGAGGATGTTATTAGCCGAGGTGGAAAACATCCTCCTCAAACGAAAACCGAATTTAATAATTGTTTTATTATTCATTCAAAATGTTTCTAAGTTCTGAAAACGACTACCCCCTCGTAGACTTCCTTCAGACCTTGTTCCTGTTTCTAGCAGGGTTTCATGATATAAAGAGATGTTTTTCCTTGCAGGTACTCCTCAGACCTCGAAAAGTATATAAAATCCATCGAGCGAAATGTTTAGCGTATTCTTGTATTTCTTCCGTTCAGATTTAATTAGAAATTCAGCTAATTCAGTCTTTGATAACCTTAAACGCTATTATTTTTAGTTCACTCGTGAATAAACTGCTTCGTTTCCAACTAAATAGACCATTGATCAACCTCGTTTCCAATCAGATATACCATCGAATCGATGGTATGTTGCTCGCGTCTTCCAAATATGGCAAGCACCAGTTGGATATTTCTTTCTTTCCCATTTTGAAAAATGAAATTGTATTTGTCGAATTTTGTTTTTAACCACTTCTGGGAGGGAAACTGTTTAAACCTTTTTGTTTATTGTTGTTGTTTTCGTTTGTTTCCGTTTTTGTTGTTTTTGTTATTTGTTTTGTCTTTGGGTTGTATTGCTAGTTTTCTTAAATCGCTTTATTTTTCCCCCTTTTCAACTATACCAGTGTACCATCTGTGATATCCATGACAAGTCTCTCAATGTCGATAGTGGAGTGTCTGTTTTTGTGTAAAATGTTGCAGAAGTTATTGCAGCAGTTTGTTATTTTTATCATTCTGTTGTAATTGTTTTTCAATTAGTTTCATGTTCGTTGAAGTTATCACAATTAAAGTTGATGGTTTAAACTAATGTTTGCATTTATTAATCAATCGCAGTGCTCAGTGTATTGTGGTATTGGTGAGAAGTCACGTGATGTCTGGTGCAGTACAAAGAACGGAAAAAAAGTCCCGGATGAATATTGCGCAGGCGAGCATAAGCCTAGAATGACACGCTCCTGTAACAAGAACCGGCGCTGCGGTGAATGGGAAATCGGCTTGTGGACTGAGGTGAGTACAAATAGGAATCGTTAAACAGTCCTAATTAGAAAGCTTATGAAAAGGCGTTTTGGAGCCACGCACATCAATCGGAAATGAGGCCTGTTGCCTTTTAACATGCCTTGACACTACTGAATTTGTCTTGCAAAACGTCTTTACTCTGAAAGAGAGAGAAGTCCACTTCCATTTGCCGCGCGACGCTCAAAATCTCTAAAAGCTAAGCTTAAGCTCGCTATTCGCGCCGTCGCTTTCGTTGAAACTAGCGCATTAAAAACAGAAAGAACTGAAACAAACTGTCTCTGTTAAATTTGCAAGTTGATTGTGAAATTGCTTGTCACTGTCGAGGTGAATATTTACCTCGCTTTCTCACGCTGCCTTATAGTGCATTTCGACCGAAAAAAAAACTGGCTCAGGGTGCTTACCATCACAAACCATGCTTTTGGAAACCTTCCGCACAAACGTTAGGCTATTAAATTTGACGTTGCAGGAGAACGACTCTCTTTAAAGTGTCTCCAAAAGTGTCTCCAAATCATCTGGAGAGACATTCAAAGAGAAACACTGATTTGCATCGTCTCAAATCACAGCACATGTTTTCTGAAGCTTTCCAAACAAAATGGCGCGAACCATTTGACTTTCCAACCGGAATTTCCGGTTTTCCTTGCCTCGCCCCTGTACGGCGTCCCCCAGGACCTCTCGGTCAAGGCATTTCGGTGACGTATCCGAGACGAACAAAAACTCGCTCGGATCACGCGACCCGAAACGCATCGGACGCGCAGAATAATGAGGCCTAAGGACTAGGCAACGGTTTCCTCATATAAATGGTAAGGAATCTCAGAAGTTAGAACTTTTATTGATTATTTTCCAGTGTTCAAAAACGTGTGGTGATCGAACAAGAAGACGGCCTGTTAGGTGTCTTCACCAGTTAGACTACAAAGACGATACGTTCTGTGACGGCAGAACGCGGCCATCTGAACAACAGCCATGTAGCCAAATAGCATGCCCACGTGTTCGTAACATATACCAATGGCAAACAACCCCGTGGAGCGAGGTATGTTATAATACGACTCCTAATTCAACCAGTCAAGGAATAAGTCTTTATAGGAACCTCTTTACTTTTAACTGAAATAAGCTGTCTTAATCTTTGCCATGCCTTCAGATGAAACACTGTTTAAATGTACATTTAGTGTCAGACATTTTCTCGTTGTTTTCTTTGTTTCTGTCAACGATGCAAATTTGGCACGGTAAATAAACACAGTAGTTTAACACCTGGCATCAGCTTCATATTCTCCTCTTTCTTTATTCCCTGCTTTCGTTAATAATAAGACGAATTTGTTTAGATGTTTGTTTTCTGATTACTTTTAATCTTCTCGTGTCCAAAATGATTGGTAAAGCACTAAGTTTATACGGGGAATTTGGTTGATAGTCACTAAAAAAGTTTAACCTGAAGCCTGTTTTTAATTGATGTATTCAAAGAGGAAATTATATAATGCTCACTTCAGAAAAAGTAGTTGTGCTTTGGTGTAGTTGTCTAGCCTTAACATGCTCTTAAAAGTCACAAACACTTTGAAAACGATTTTACCAAAAAAATATATGTCAATTTTCAATATGTTTTCTGACACATTTTAGTGCTCCAGTTCCTGTGGGTACGGTCAAAAGTCACGTGATATTTGGTGTGTTGATCTTTCGAGACGAAACGTCAGCGACGCACTTTGTAACCCGGAATCCAAACCAGAAAGTTCTGCTGCTTGTTATGGTTCGAAATGTCCCTCACAATGGAAACACGGTGATTGGTCACCGGTGAGTCGGTTGCGCAATGTTCATCTTATCGCAAATTTACTGAGAGTGTTAATAGACGGAGGTTTCTCGCGAGAGAAGAGCCTTACCCTTAAACAAAGTAATTTGTTCTTAGATGTTGTGTAATTCCAAGTTTTTTGCATGAAAACGAAATTCTGTGGTTAGACCATCAAAATAAAATCTCTTCAAATGGCAATACTTTCACATGGTACTATTAGTTTAGCATCTACAATGTTCTAACTCTGGACTGTGGATGAAATCCTCTGGTGTCACCATTCATGAAACCTCTCCAGTAGTTCTTTCACTTCGTACTATTAGTTGAGCATAAAGTAGTTCTAACTCTGTAGCCTGTGGACAAAATTGTTTGGTGATACCATTTAGATAACACTTCTCCATCGGTACTTTTGCTCAGTAATATTTGTTTTAGGATTTTACAAGACCAAATTTTGCATTTTCTATGAATTTTTACTTATCTCACTTGTGGAAATGGAAGGCCTAACTACAGTTATTCAAGACTTGGTGTTACATTGGGTGGTTTAGGCTCCAACAGTCCATAATGCAATGGGAGGCAACAACGACCCAGTCTCACACTCAACCTCTAAAAGGCCTACAGAGGTGCCAGTTTGAGAAAATTGACTAGAGCTTTCTTAGTTCTCATTAAAACCTGCTCGTGAGATACCGTAAACTGTGTTAGACGTGAGGGGTTTTAAGAGGGTTTATACGACGGCACGGTGGGGTTTATATCCGAGAGGGGCTTATAAACAAGATAGAAAAAGCGCTTCAAAGCAAACTATTAGCTGTATAGCATTGCTGATCAAAATACGTTTTACATATACTGGTTTTTACTAAGCTTCAAAACGTCACAATAAATCGAATCCGGGCGGGCTTATAATCGGAGTTAGAGGGAAGCTTATATCGCCGGAGGGGCTTATTATCGGATGTATTTTTTGTTGTTGTTTACAGGTAGATGGGCCTAACTAGGCGGGTTTATTTGTGGGGCGTGGGCTTATGAACTGCTGTTTACGGTATCTGCAACACCTTTTGAAATTATGCACTTTTAACTTCTTGACGGTCTTATTTTCTTGTCTCGCAGTGCTCTAGGACTTGTGCTCGTGGCTATCAATACAGAGCAGTACAGTGTGTTGGTAATACTGATTGTGACAAACGGACCAAGCCCCCTGTATGGCGGCCGTGCAACAGGGGAGAATGCGGCAGCTTTCTCTTCTGGAGAGTGGGAAAATGGTCTAAGGTAATGGAACGTGACGTTTAGAGCCCTGGACTTGTAATCTGGAGGCCCCGAATTCGATTCTTCCGCCACACTTGTGAAATAATTAACTGGTTCGTCTCCTACCAGTTGTGATTCTTAACATTGTTATGTTCCATTTGAATTATTTGTTTCATTGTCTCTGGGGCATAAGGGGAAAGGATAATTTTTTTAAAGCAGTTAGGAAATAGCCTGAATTTCAGCCTTTCCCTTTTCTAGTTAGAGTCGCATTTTTTTGTTGATTTCTGAGAAGCACACTCCTGGGAGAGAGAGAAAAATTTCCAAGTAGTCTTCATTGGTTCCTCTTTTTCCGGGGGTACAGCGTCCAACTCTGTGTCCTGAGATGCCATGGAGTCGATGTCGTGAGCATTGAAGTATTGTTTGTCCCAAGCAAGTGGCATTACAAAAATATAACAATTGTATTTTTCTCAATTTCGTTATAGGTTTCAGGGATCGAAAAGTGACGAGAGCTTTCTCCGTTTATACTACTACATGAGAAATTTCTGTAATTTGATTGGCTTAGAGCAGTTGTATTTCTGCTTAATTTGAAATACCTACATGTGAAAATTACAAACCTTTGGCGGGTAGTAGTATAAACAAATAATAGCAAGATTTTTAGGTGATATTTGGTGTAAATACCACTCGTGATATTTCAAAATTGTCTCAAATTTCACTCGCCTGATGGCTCGAGAAATTACGTATAACAATTTTGAAATATCACTCGAGCTATTTATGCCAAATATCACTACAAATCATGCTATTACCTATACTAATCAATCTAACACCGGTTTTATTTCACCCGATTTTCCGATGAGACAAAGAAACAAACCAGCTCTCTAACGAAATTTAGATAGGGTGACACTTGACAGATCCAAGGACTGATAAACCTGTGGCGTTCTCATTGTCTTTTTCTTGGCCAAAGGCCATTTTGTTGTTTGCAAGTGCACCTCGCTTAATATGTCGGTTTTTTCAGTTGGCGATGTTTGATTTCAAAGTAACATTATCGAAAACTGAAATGAGAACTTATTTATTTCTATAGTGCTCTGTCAGTTGTGGTCATGGAGTGATGAGAAGACTTGTCAAGTGTTTCGCTAGAAACGGAAGCTACGTTGATGACTCTTTCTGCACAACGCCAACATCAAGGAAACCAGAAGACACGCGCGCATGCCAGATGAAACCATGTAAGTAGAGCAAAACGTCTATACCCCAAGATAGGTACGTGCAAATACGCATGGCAAATGTAGGCACGTAATATGTGCACGCATGCACAAAAAAATAAACTGACGCACCGCAAGTTGACAAATGCTAAGGTCAAAACGCAAGAAATGTGACAGCGTCAAGGTTAAGTAATTTCATTTCATTTCCTTCGTCTTAAGGTCCACCAAAAACTTGCAAAGACATCCAGTTGATTAGCGGATTACAGAATGACGGTGAACAGTCACTGAATATTCAAGGAAGAGAACTTCAGGTATGATAATCTTAAAACATAACAAATCCTTTGTTAATGTACTTATTGAAAGACACATCATGTTTCTTTCAGGTGTACTGTCACGCAATGATGTCACAAGAGCCTAAAGAGTACATTACTCTCAGAACAGGCCCTGCTAATAACTTCGCAGAAATTTACCCCAAAAGGTAATATTATCGTTCTAGCCGTCTAGCCGTCTTCTAGCTTATAATCCCAGTTGATTGGGTACCAGACAATAGTGAGCTCACGCAACAGGACGGCAGAAAGAAAAGTGAGAGCAAAACGTTTTTGTTTGTGACAAACGTGACAGAGCTCTTACTTACGTAGTTTGTCCCGATCGTCACTTAAAATTACTGTGTTCTGGTCTTTTACAAAAAGATCTGTTTAATGGAAGGTGAAGTTTGGTCGAAAATTTTCAAACAAAATCAATGTCGGGCGTGTCGGGTTTGCAATTTTGTTCCTATGCCGTTCTATTGTTAAGTTAAATTCATGGGATCATGAGAGCTAAATTACGGACGTGAGCAAATCTCGTACAAGAGATCAGGGTATGAGAATAGACATGAGTGTCTAATGCGGCGGATCTTTCTCCGATGAACTCTTTTCGATCTTTTCAATCTGTTTTGCTTTCTTTTAGTTTTTTTTTTTCTTTTTAATACGCTTTTTGGGGGGTAAAAACAACAGACACAAGATAACACTAATTTAGCCTCTTGCTTACTCCTGTTTCCTAGGTTACGTAATGCCTGGCAGTGTCCGGGAAATGGTTCGCACGTTGAGGAATGTGATTGCGAGGATGAAGACTATCAGCAGTCGGGCGCCTCCTATTATTCAAAAATCAGAATAGATTTGTCAGCGATGAAAATAATTCGTAAGTACACAGGCCATATACTTATCAGATTCAAAGCATTTAGAAGTATTTTGAGCGTATTTACCGAGAGAATTGCCACAGAGGTTAACTTCACTAAGCGCAAAAGTGGAATTCATCATTTGCACATCTCCCGTAATACACCCCGTTTGCCCCCCAAAGTTTTGCATAACCTTGGTTTTTCATTTCTCCTGGGTATTGCAGTTGTCCCAGGAAAAATTAAGGACATTAGGGACAAGATTCATTATGGGAGATGTGCAGATGTGGAATGCCGAATTCTTAACAGATGAAATGCCTGAAACCAGCCCTTAGTACTGAGGGATTGTGGGTAACTTTCTACGACCATCTGCCCTGAATCACATCACGTGACATTGCTTTGAAAGATGCTCCAGACATGTCGTAAGATGCTCAAGACGTGTTGCCCTACGGCTTATGTTTAAGCCGTGGGGTTTATTTATTTCAAACACATTTGAGAAGGGGGCTTATTTGAGAGGGGGGCGGGGGGCTTATTTAATTAAGCAAAGATAATGGTATCAGTTTACCATAAAGAACTATAATACAAAGTGAAAATGGCCAAGTACAAGAGTACAAGAAGTTGGAGGTCATGTAGCCGACGATCAAAAACAAATCCGAACTTCCTGTTGCTGGATCAGTCCATACGAAGTTTTACAGTCGTGATTGATCGTCTATTATTTAGTAGTGAAGAATAATAAGGAGGTGGAGAGGGGGCTTATTAACTTTCTCTCCCTGAAAAGGTTGAAGGCTTATTTGAGAGGAGGGCTTAACAGAGGATTTACGGTAAAAACTATTATACTACTACATGAGAAATTTCTGCAATTTGATTGGCTTAGAGCAGTGGTATTTCAGCTTAATTTGAAATACCTACATGTGAAAATTACAAAACCTTTGTGGGTAGTAGTATAAACAAATAATAGCATGATTTGTAGGTGATATTTGGCATAAATACCACTCGTGATATTTCAAAATTGTCTCAAATTTCACTCGCCTAACGACTAGTGAAATTACGTATAACAATTTCGAAATATTGTTCGTAGTATTTATGCCAAATATCACTACAAATACTGCTATTACCTATACTAATTCCAAGGAAGTCCCTGACACCAGAAATATAAACGCTAACCGTGGTAAATCTTCTTCTCTTTAGCGGAAGATAAAGAGTTTGCATCGACAAGAGGGTTAAATCCCCCGGCATACGGGACAGCAGGGGATTGTTACAGTGCCCAGGGAAGATGTCCACAGGTGCGAAATAAAATTATAAAACAATAATAATTGTTAACAAAAACCTTTGAAATGCGAGTCTTAATCGGACGAGCTTCACGTAGGTTAAGTTTGTCGAGCATCAATAAACACTTAATGTCTGGTCGCTAGGGAAGCAAAATTAGCTGTTTCCCGAGGGACCAGTCTTGTGATATGTTATATAGTTGGAAATTTTGAAGCTGACCATTCATTAGACCTCGCTCGAACGCCTGTCGTCGATCAACATTCGCTAGTAACAGCGCACTGTTACCCCCTGACGTCATAGATTTTGCAATGTTGCCCGCTCAGATATTTTGACGGGAAACAGTTTCATTCTTAGATCTCATGTGACCTCGAAGTAACCAATGAGAAAGCGCAATTCTCTTGATTTCGATAGGATGCAAATTGTTGCTAATTTCCCTTTTACAATTTCAAACAAGATAGTTTTTAGGATCTGAAATATCGGCTTAGTTACCGTAAGATTTTTTCCCGAAGATCGCGTTGTTGCCCCGCTAATATCGTCCTATAGGTAACTATAAAGTCTCTCCCAACATTGCTTACACCGTTCGATGAACTAATATTTGTAACTGAAGAAAGCGGGTCTTTATAAATGGCTATAACACTTTAAAATGGGAACAGACATGAAAGTTAATTCAAATGTGAGCCATGATTAGACCTCATAAAGATAACTAGGTTCAGGGTGCGGCATTTACCTCACTTCTGACACCATAAGGTGGTATAACCTGAGAATACACGACACCCACAAAATGCACGTACCAAGTTTAACCGCTGACCTAGATGTACAGCATATGCAAATCAGCAATCAGGGTCCCCTATTCAGTTTCTTGTTGTTGTTTGTGACTGAACCCGGGAAAGAAAACTGGGTCACATTCCTTGCCCACGTACTGCGCGCGAGTGACTTTTGATATCCCTTCCTTTGCATCGAAAATGATTTTAGACGTCGTGAAAAGTTTGTGGCTTATGTTTAAAAGAAAGTTGCTGGCAGAACTATGGTAGTAACAGAACAACACAATACATAACTTGTTAAACTCATGCTTTATCAGAGTCATACAATCCACCATGTTCCATCGGCAGCCGTAAGTACCAAGCAGAGGAGCGCGGGCTCATTTCCCGAACAGCGGCTGGTAATCGAGCCTATCTTGAGAATTGACACGTGGTCTTGTCTTTTTTAGGGTCGATTTAGCATCAATTTAAAAGAAACTGGCATCAGATTAACCTCCAAGGTCATGTGGGGATCAACAGGCCAGGCGTATTCGCAAATTATCTACAGATATCCGGTGAGTGCTTTGTACATCATGTAACATAACTAATTGACAAATACTCGGGCATCAAGTACTTGTTAACCCTGCCAGCAGAACCTTTCTGTCGCTTGCTCGGTTTTGGCGTGCCCAAGAAAGACTCTAAATGAATCGAGGAAGATCTTTGTTAAGCATGCGTTGCATGTCGCTAGGATACATTTTCCAACCCTGGCCTAATAGCCTTGTGCTTCTTACAGCAGACTCAGTTTGACGAAAGAAAACAAGGTTGACTAGTCAGGAAGTTCGGGTTGCGGTGACTTCTTAATAGCCCGTGTACAGATTCCCCCCCCCCTCCCTACATGATGTAGTGATCTACCAGTAACAGCCAATCAAATCACTTGCCACACATTCGCGAAAAATCACGTGGCCTCCATACACGATTAGCAACGGTGAATCAAAGACGCTCCTTCCCCGATTTTTCCTGAGGGGAGGGGGGGTCTGTACCCAAGCTACTTCTCAAAGGCTTAACGCGGTTCAGGAAGAGGCTCCTTTTCTACTTCTCCATCAAGAAGAAGACTAAAGAAGACTCTTCTCGAAGGGTGTTACTTGTTAGCTTTCACGTTTCAACCCATGATGAAACGTTACAGCTTTTATGGGTCCAACAATTCGAATATACCATCCTCAAGGCAGCCATTCTCTGTTGATGTAATTCCATGTCAGCAATCTGAAAACCTTTTCTTTCTCGTGTGTCAAAAATTATTCAAATATTTTTTTCTATCTCTTTTAAGGAAGGACAACAAGTTATAGGAAAATGCGGGGGAAGATGTGGTATCTGTAGACCTGAAAATGATGTAGGGCTTAAAATTGAACTTGTAGAAGGTAAGTCTTGGATATTTTCTTTTTTGCTGTTTCTATATAGGATTCGGACGACACGGTAAATGGAGCGGAGCAACGTTAACAAAACTGGCAAAGTAAAGCGGCTAGAACACTTAACAGGGGGAACGGTGACCCTCTCTGCAATTTTCTCTTGCTCTTGCTCTTGCTCTCCCTACTACTTACTCTCGCTCAGCTCCCCTATTCGACACTCTACAAACGAGAAGGAGACTGGACCGATTTGACTTTTGCAAAGTCTTCTGGGATAGTAACTGGAGTCGGACGCGCTGGTCAGCTAGTGAACGTAAGCAGCGATGTCTTTGAGCGATGCACGTCAGCCGAAAGTGGTCTTTTTTCATGTGTGGACGGTGGTTTTGGCCAAATGTTGCCCAAATCGTCTCTATTATAGTAAAGACACTTAGAAATACAAATTTGGTAGCGTCAAGGTGCTTTAAAATGAAAAAGACCTCACTTCCGGTTGACGTGCGTCGCTTAAAAAACCTGACCCCTGTAACAGTCCCAGACGTCTTTGCGAAAGTTAACTAGGCCCAGTTTCCCCACTCTGGCCTCACTTCATGAATCATTTGAACGACAATTTTCTTTTTGGGGGGGGAGGGGGGGCACACCACAGAAAAGAAAATCCAGTATCTATCCATCTCCGAATTTTTATTACAGCCTTGAAACCAATATGTAATGGCACACTTACCCAGACCAAAAGGAACATTTATTTTGAAATAAGACGATACGACATTCGTATCAAGGTCAATTGGCAGCTTTCAGAAGGGGCATCCGCTGACCACTCTCACATGACTGTATAGCGGGCTGGAGTGTAGGGCTCGACTCATTGAAGTCACTTTTTTTTAAAGCTGCCTTTCTTTGTGCTGTTGCTTTCCTCTGGTACTTACAATGATGCCTTTCCTCTGCACCTTTCCATTTTTTTTTCCACTTTTTTAATTCCTTACACAGTTCCAAACTCCAGTAGCGCGTTATTATACTTGCGATGGACATAGACAACATCTCGAATAAATAGTTATGTAAAGCTTAAAAGTATTTTTGCTCCCTCCTTCATAAAAAATCAGCAATCTTCATTTCTTCTCGTTCCGTCATGTCAGTGCCGGATCTAGACCTTGAGATAAGTGGGGGCCCGGTCATCCGCTACTGCATGTAATACAGGGGCGGATCATCCGCTTTTCTAATACAACTGGTATTCTGCAAAAAAGGAAAAACCATGTGGTTGATTGGTGTTGAAGTAGAGCAACAGACGAGTGCACCCCCTCCTAAAAAAAATCCTGGATCCGCCCCTGTAATAGATGGGGGTACTTCAAATAATTTCAACATATTACCTACCTCTAAAGAACTATACTGGATAATACCAAACTCCTTTAGAAAGCCATTTTTCCAATTTATCACTAACTCCCCATTTGCTTTTCTTTTCCTATTGCAGATGAGAGCTGAGATTTGGTGTTCTTAGGAATTTTACAATGGGTGTATATATTTCTACTCATAGGCATTTTGAAATTATAGTCCCGGCAAAGGTAACAGAGAGAGTGTATTTAACTTTGGTAGTGGGATCTAGGGAAAAAAAACTAAATATAGAAACGATGTCTAAAACTCTGTCAATTGAAAACGGTAGGATTGTCACTGTAAAACTTTCTCTTATGCTATATACAATAAGAAGGTTAGTTGAAGAAAGAAACCAAGTTATACATAGATTTATTATATGGCTGGCTGCATGAGTGGGCAAGATGACGCGTATCCTGTTTTGAATGGCTACCTGAGCGGTTAAAATTGACCTATCGTGCCAAGGTGGGGTCGTTAGGTGTGTATGTTTTGGACGTGTAATAAATCCTTTAATGAACAAGCTTGCTCGGTTAAGATGCAGTTTTATAAGAATTGTTTTATTATTTATTTTTTTGACGTTGTTGCGTTTTAATAAGGGAGCCTCGACTTCTAGTGGGTCCCGGATTCTGTCCACAGTAAAGGAAAAAGGACTTGGGGTTCAATTTAGGTTTCTGGGAAACTACCCACCAACCCCTCCCGTAATCTAACATTAACACTTACTTCCCACTTAGGGCAAAATGATGGCTTAGGGGAGTGGTAGGTGGGTAGTTTCCCAGAAACCTAGACTGATCCATTATGCAGCCATTATGCAGCCATCTCAACTTCACGATTGGTCAATTTCGCATATACATTGCCTTAAATTATTTGATAGGACCGTGTTTTTTAGGTATCTTTTTGCTTCTTCAAAAGCGGCTATTGATCTGAAAAATGAATCATTTTCTACTTTTCATATTCTCCTACCCTGACTAAGGGTAAGGGTATCAAGATTCCGGAATCCGAGAACTTTTTGCTTATGGAATCTAGAATTCTGGGCCTAATTGTTCGAAGGTCTGTTAGCGCTAATCCAGGGTAAAATTTTAATCTGGGTTTAACAAAGCATTTTCCCTATTGTTTTTTGGGCGTCAAGTATTCAAATTGTAGGCAAGAAGAATTGAACTGAATTTGCTTTTAAAGCTATCATTTCTGAATTCAAATTTCACTTTAACCCTGGGTTATCTTAACCAACCTTTGAACAACCTGGCCCTGGGCTGTTGAATCTGGAATACAGCTTAAGGAATCCGGATCCCACTTACCCTGGAATTCAGAATCCAAGTTCCACTGACAAAGAATCTTGAATCCAGTACCTGAAATCCGGAATTCCACGGCATGTAATCCAGGGTCCGAGGCTGTCTTGGATTCCCTTGCATGAGGCGAAAAATTATTCATTTAAAGTGCAGCTATTAACATAATCCATTATATAGTTTATAACAAAACTGCAACACATGATCAAAGAGTATTTTTAATGCATGTCTCACTATATACAAGAGCGTATCTGCTGCAGAGGAAGATTTTAAGATTTTCCTCGAAAAGATTGAAAAATTCAAGAAAGAAAAGTTGAAAAACTCTTAGATAACATTATTGGTATTGCTCAAGTTTTGAAATTATTTAATTTATTTCGGCGAGCTGCCATTGAAGATATTTACCCTGATTGCACCTTTTACTTTGGAAATTAGTTATATTTCTCCTTATTGCTGGTTTTCACTGTCGCGCCATCAAAAAATAAAAAGAATCTGGGAAGAAGGAGGTAATTATGCGACGACCCTGGCCTAGATTCATGTCGGTACAACTTTTCTCATGAGAGATATTGAGAGAAAATATTAAATTAAATTTATAGAGCTTTGTATGGAGATGTCATGGTGGTGCCCATCCGGATGGGCACGAACATAGTGGCCGGAAACCAGCAGAAACATTTGTCACTGGGTTTTGCTAAGAAAGCGTGGATTCATCTCTCGAGGATCTCATAAATGTATACTTTTTCTAACACAATGATTGTTCAAATTGCAAAATCTCCCAAAATTACGCACTTACTAAGCCTACATAACAGCTCTCTCGTCCGCCAGGTAAATGCCGCGTCGCGCAAAAGCTTGGAATTCAAGCTTACTCTATCATATAACGAAGAACGCTTTCGAAGTGAAAATTTGTAAAAATACAATTATTTGGCTGCTCTAATACTTCATGAAAGTAAAAGCTCAGGACCATCGAAAATTTTTTTAATATAGTTTTCATTTTGATAAAGTCATGTGAAAACCAGCAATGGAATCAAACCCGTTCCCAGGGTACCCTATTTTTCCGTCAGAAAAGAAAAAGAACTCTAGGGACAAGGTTGCAATGAATAACGGTTAAATAATCCTTACATGGTATTAATTTTGTTTGTCTTCATTTTTATTTTATCGATAGAATTCGAGCTGATAGAGAAGGGAATAATTAAGATGACTATTAACATTTTGGTTCCTGTCATTTGTTGCTTGGAAATTTCCGTAGCTTTTACGGGCCAAATTTTTTATATTTTGACAGTCCTTATCTTTTTAATGGTGAGGTTGTTTTTAACCCCAAAACAGTCCACATCTTCATTACTTTACCCAAAATTTCGTTGCTTCGCTTTTAGCTAAAGAATTGAAAAACATTTTTGCAAATAATGCGCACATAAATAGTTAGCCCCTGAAGGTATGTCACGCAATCGTCTTCTAGTTCTTGAGGAGGGATTGACTGACAAATCCAAAGAACGTCTAGTGAAAGAATAATGCAAAAAATATATATATATGTGGATTAAAAGTTGCAACAGTATTTCTTGTTTGTCTGTAAATATTTCAGAAGTTGTATAGATTTCAACTTATAGATTAGAGTTAGCTGCAAATGAAGGAATTTCATATTTATTATTGAGCTAATTAAATAATTTTATTTTTGCAAAAATAAATTACAGCCATGCTCATATCAACTGATTTTATAAAGCAATTTAATGATAGAAAAAAAGGTTTTAAGTTTAAAATATATAAGGCCGATATCTTAGGTGAAACAAGCCGACACAAATGTAAAGATTTTTTATAAATATACCCGTATACAACTGGAAAGTATTTATTTATACTAGCTGGCCTCGTTTTAGGTGACTTGCTAGTTGGTCGACTGTACAGAGTTAAAATATATTATATGAAAATAAAGTTACAGCTGAAATGTAACTTGTTGAACTGCATTTTTTATTATCTCTAGTGTGATTGTTTATAATAGGCCGTTTCCCAGTTGCTTCAAGCCTCTGTTTCAAACCGAGGCTAAGTGCTGCTATTTATTCTTGTGCAAATAACAGCACTTATTATTCATTCAAAATATTTCCCCAATTCTGATTGGCTAAAAGCACTCGCATAAATTCACCATAACCAGTTACTGATGACCAAATTTGGAAGAATTTTGTGTTTAACGAGGAAATGACGTCAAAAATGCAGCCCCCTACAGGTTAATGAACCGTTAACCGAGAAGACCTGGGAACGAGGTTGAGTTGTTTTGCTTATGAAAAAAAAAATGGCGGACTTTTCACTCGTTTCAAGAGTAAGAACTACAGCTGGAACTAGGCGAAATAACAACTAAAAACGTGGTAAAAACAGCAAGAAGACGACTCGGAGGGCGATATCTGCTATTTGGAGAATATTTGCGGAGCTGGACAAACCTAAACGTACACTATCGAAGGTGAACTCAACATCGATCCAGGTAAGCATGTTTCAGCTATCTTTTTAACCTTGGGATTATTTTGAATGAATAATAAAGCAATTAATGAATTCGGCTTTCGTAGGATATGAAGAATTAAGCAGATCTCGAGGGGTGTTATCCACCTCTGCCTTCGGTCTCGGTAGATAACACCCTCCACGATCTGCTTAATTGTTCATATCCTACGAAAGCCGAATTCATCAATGGTTTTTTATTCATTCAAAATATTTGCCCGATTCTGATTGGCTTAAAGTACACGCATAATTCACCATAACCAGTTACTGATGACCAAATTTGGAAGAATTTTGTGTTTAACGAGGAAATGACGTCAAAAATGCAGTGTTCTTGCGGGTTAATGAACCGTTAACCGAGAAAAGTTGTTTTGGCTGTGAAAACATAAAATGGCGGACATTTCACTTGTTTCAAGAGTAAGACCTAGGCGAAATTATAGCTAAAAACATGGCAAGAACAGCAAGAACACAACTCGAAGGGCGACATCTTCTACTTGGAGAATATTTGCGGAGCTGAACAAACCTAAATGTGCACTATCGAAGATGAACTTAACATCAATGGATCGATGGAGGTAAGCATGTTTTAGCCATGTTTTTAAACTAGAAATTATTTTGAATGAATAATAAAACAATTATTGAATTCGGCTTTCGTATCATATGAAGAATTATGGAGATCTCGGGGGGTATTATCCGCCTCGGCCTACAGCCTCGACGGATAACACCCTACTCGATCTCCATAATTCTTCATAAGGTACTCAGCTTCATTCATTAATTGTTAAATTAAAGTCGTCCTCATAGTTCACGAAATCACCGGGAACTTCTCTAGTTTGGCGACATAGTCTGCAACCGAAATTACAAAGGTAAACTTCGAAAGCACTTACTAACACCCCGCGATTACTGCTAGTGAATACTGAATTGTATAATAGATAGCTTGCAGAACAAGCGTCCTTTGTTCGCGTTTTTAAGTTTTCCGTGTTTCCACGGCTGTATTCTTTCTGAGAAAAATAAGAGATTTTAACGGACGTAATAAGAGAGATTTTGTTTCAGACGTAAAGCAGAAACAATTAGGTGGTTTGTTTGATAAGCTGTCTCTAATTACAGTCCCACTGCTTTACGGTTTAAGTAAAATCACTCTTGTCCGTTTCTCTAAAAAAAATAGCGTCTTAATAGTCCTTGCTAATAACTGCTTTCTAACGTTCCCAAGTCGCTAACGTGCTTAAGGTGACTCGACCCAGTTTTTTTTTTTTTTTTTTTTGGGCCATCCCTACTTTGAAGCTCTCTGGTATCCCCACCTTCACTTTTATCGTAAGTCTAACACATAGAATGGATAACATATAGATCAATCTGCTTTATATCATAAAATTTTTGGCGATCGGAGTAAATGTCACGTGGTTATAATGCCACGCCCCTTTGAGGTCTGAGTCGAAAATCGGCTGTTGCCGGCATTTTTTTGTGAAAATCTCTCGGCTACACATAGTGCGCATAAGTGCCTTGCACTGAACAGAGTTTCACCAAAACCGCAGACCCAATTCG